TCAAGGATTTGTATTTTTTAGGAGCTGGACAGTTGGGAAATAACACAACAGAAGTCTTGGATCAATGTCCACTGAAATCTGTGGGAAGCTTTATGCCAATTTCAGTTGGCCTTTTGTCAAGTCTTTTAAAACTTTGCATGAATATTTGGAACTATTTTAATGGGTGTGAAGCTACATTTAACTCTTCCTTTTGAGAGATTTTTCATCTTGAGTACATGCACACCCATCTAATTGTATAAATTTCACTGATTTCTGTGGCCATGGTTTTAGATGCTATCAGTTAAGAGTGGTTTTTTTAACATGTAATTTTATGTACATACTCATAGCCCTGAATAAAGCATTCTGGATGTAAGTAGTATTCCTTGGACAGTACATGCAAACTTTTTAGCACTTTATTTAGTTGAGATACTCCTGTCTTCAAACAAACTGTAATTTAACTTTGCATCTGTCAGTATTAAGTAGTTAAGTTTAGCAGAGACATTGCAGTTCAATTATTCATATGTTTTAATTCTCAGTTTCATTTCGTTATGCTCCTTACCTCATCATTTGCATCTGGTTTATGAAACTCCAGTAACTTTAATATGCATATGGCCAAGCTGTTGCCTTTAACTTAATTAGCATGTAATGAAAATGTCTTGTTTGCAAACAGGGAACCCATAGCCATGAGTCTCTTCTAGTTTAGAGCCAGGGTTTGTCTGCTGTCTCAGAACTTAGCTTTGTTAAATTCTAGGCAAGAAATTTAAGTTCTGAAAATCCTTCAGTTGCTGTCACTGCTGTTTCTTATGGAGGGTCTGTTTGCTGGAGATCCTGAAACCTCAAAATGAATTAGGTTTACAGGCTGATAAGCTGCCAAAGGCTTCACTCGGAGCCTAAGGACACAGACACAGGGGGAGACAAATGAGAGCAGCCTTTGTGCTGTTCCAGTAAGAGGCCAATGAGATCTGTTAGAGACAGATAGGACAGAGTGGGACTCTCAGACCATTCCAGGTGGGTCTAAAATCACTGGAAAATTTACCCGGTTTTGTATAGCTCAGGTGAACTTTCAGTGGTTTAAAAAATTCTTCTTATTTTTCAGTTTATAATCTAATATCAATTAAGTCATGAAGCAAATGTCTTATTATTATTTCTCTTGTCCAAATTTCATTTTGAGATTCTTCCTCCTTTTGAAGCACACCAAGAAAACGGAACAAGTGTCTTACCTTGGTGATAACCCCCTGATGCTGAGGAATTTCACAAAGACGTATTGGATCTGAAAATTCCTTTAGCCCAGAGCTAAGCAAACATTTCATAACAAATAACAAGTGGGAGGAATGTTGCCTTCTCATCCCTTCTCAACTTTTCTGCAAACAAACTCCAAGTTCTTCTAATTTATTGATTCAGAATTACTTGCTACCCACACAGATCAACGTATGTCTTTCTGTTTACATGGAATATCCCTTACAGAAAGACAGCAAATATGTGTTGTGAGGGAAGAACAAGAGAACAGCAAATTCCAACTGAGCAATCTCTCTTGGGTTTTCCTTCCCACCATATTCTCACAAATACTGCTATTATTAGTGATAGCCACAGTGGGAGAGAGAGGGAATAGACAGGAGTCCCTGGTCTTTTTCATGCTGTGTTGTCTAGACTTAGTAAAAATGTTAGATTTTGTCATTCTGCTTCCTCTCATGGTGTTCTAATTGCAGAGAATCTGAAATAAAAATGGAGTTTCGACCTATCTGACCCTCTCCTTGTTGGGTCCCAAACTCATCAAAGTAAATGGCAAGATATCATTGAGTTCAGATTCAAGGAAAATCCCATGTATACTTAGAGCTATGCTGGCAGTAGGAAACCTAATGCATAAATTTCCACGACAGTTTTGACAGTATTTGTTCATCTGCTGAAGTATTTGAGCTGGATAAACATATTGCATCTAACTCACAATTAGAGATATGTTTATGTATTTAAAAAAAAAAAAATCCCAGAAACACTTTTTAAAATATTAACACTTATAGTGCCCAGGAGTACAAACTAGCCAAAATCTGGCCTTCAAGAACCTGGAATTCCTTGGCAGTGTAAAGTTAGAAAAGATGATTCTGTGCTAGTATCCTGCCTCTGTGCCTTGGCGTTTCTCAGCTGGCCTATTTTGCAGCCAACACAACCAGAGCCACAGGCCACTTTGCTTTATCTAAGGCTAAAATTCAAGAACCTGCAAGAAAAGTATCTGGTAGTTATTGCCCAATTGCCCCCTTTGCAGCGATCCAGAGGATTGTGTCTCTGCCAGAAGCCAGGTCAGCATTCTCAGCATTACTTTGGAATTACCAAAGAGATTATTTTCATGTGAATCCTTAAAACCATCCCATACCTGGGAGAAGTGGAAAATGGTCTGTGATTGAATGAGTGTCCGGACTGCTCTGTGACACGGCCCCTTTCTTCTTGACAACTTCATAAAACTAGATGTTATCAAAAAAGAAGGTATCTCTCATTCACACAACATTTTTCAATTTGGAGGATGTGTCTGATGTAAAACCCAAAGGAAAGAAGTCTTATTGAGGATTTAGGGTCATTTCTTCTGGAAAAAAAGTGAATACATTTGTAAGGCACTCGATCAGCTACAGCCACTGCAAAGGTGCAGCAATACACGTGCAGCACAGGGCCCAGAATTCAGTTCCCTCTTTCCCCCCCACCCCGAATTCTCAATCCACCGTTATATTGTTAAATATAGAAATTACATGTGGGGCTGAAACTTTGTGTACATCAGGGACAGTTTCTTACAGGAAAAAGTAGAACCCCCTTTGTTCCATATGGTTTGAATCATTTACAAAATGAATCCTACAGGAATAATTTCAGATGTGGAAACCTTTAAAATGGGGAAATAAAAACCAGATTCACTACATTTCTGTTTTCCAGCTTAAAAAAAAATAATTGTTTAGCAGTGCCCAGTTATCAGAGCACTCTTAGCAGATAAAGATTGCCTCTCAAAACCACTTTTAAATTGTGTGATGACACACATCATAAGGATTAAAATATTAGTTGTCTTCCCTACAGGAAAGTACTTTGTCATGACCAAATGTGATCTGACATTTGAAATATGCCAATTTATTGCAGTGAGCAGGGAACTTAAATTCTTGTCAATTATTTAAAGCCTGTTTCTTATTGACAGAGGCAATTTTAACCTTCATTTAGAATTTGAAGTACATATAGGCTGAAATATGTAATTATGAATTCAAGCTGAGGACAAGAGGGGGCAAATTGTTAATCTGAATATCATCTATATTTGTTTTCATATTATTTTTCAGGAGGCAATTAGACCCTCCCAGTTTATAACATGGAATCTCTTTTACTGTCAAAATAAAGATCACTATGATTTTATGAGTGTTATTATTAGGCCCCTGTGAAAGATGCTTATATTGAGGAGTACTGTGAAGATACCTTTCGTTTGGAAGACAGAAGTGAATTTCCATGAAAAGGTCATAATGTTTGACTATAGACTTATGAAAATCTGTATATCTCTAATAAACATTTTCAGCTGGAATATACTAGAAGTCAGTTTTAGCATTAGCTTAGTAAATAGTTAAAGCTGCAAAGATTTCATATGTAAGCTTCTATTTTCACTTGCTTTTCATTTTCTGTTGAGTTTTTCTCAAGGGAGACAGATCTGAAAGTGCAGAAAATTCCACAAATCCTGAAGAAGTACACTGCTTACACTAGGCCTTCAGACTGCTCTCCTTTGATACCCTTGGCATTCTGGTCCTAGGGGGTTAGGCTAAAGAAAAGCATCCATTTCAGAAGGATATAGGTGATACATGTGTAATATGTACATTTTCAAAGAATATGTTTTGAGGAAGGAAGCAGAATCATGATCAGGGAGGGCTTAAGATGTCGGGCAAGATGGTTTGCAATTGCCAGTTGTTTGTCTGCACATATTTTTCTGAAGCCTAAGAGATATGTAGTCCTCGTGGGATGTCAATTTTGGCAGGAAGGTGTTGGCACATGGTAGAGCCTCGTTGATCCAAAACAAAAATCTGTATCTAGTATTATGTATATAATGTAATAGAATTACCTGATGAAACTTCTTCTTGGTTTTTGACTTGGTAAAAAAGAGTGTTTATTACAGCATGTTTTACAAAACCAAGAAATGAAATAAAATCATAACTGATTAATGAGCTGCATGGAAATACTTCCTCAGTGCCACCCACGTTTCCCTGGCCCTGATCCTGGAAACACTTCATCACATGTGCAGTTTTATGCACAGATACTATGTGAAAAATACAGTGTAGTTTTCCCATACTTCTGTCTTTCAGGGATCCAAGAAGATACTTGCTTTCACTGATCAGTTTGGCCTCGTAGGAGGGCATAAATCTTAAACTGCCTTTATGAGGATTAATTTGCAGGGAGTTGATTACTGAATGATACTACTAAAATGTTCAGATGCTTCAGATTTGTGCTGCTGTACTGTAACGCGCTTACATTTCTATGTAGAGTAACTTTTAAGTCTGGGATTCATGTCTGGGAATACCTTGCTCTGAAAAAAACCTGACTCTTATTTCAAATATTTTTTTTTACTTATGCATTTATTAGAGGTTGCATTTTTAAAAAAACCTGACTCTTATTTCAAATATTTTTTTTTACTTATGTATGCATTTATTAGAGGTTGCATTTTCCAAAAGCATTTTCTTTTTATGTGAGACTGTATATCCTGTACACAAACATGCATACAAAAGATCCATGCTGTGAAGAATGGATTAGTGTTGCATATGAAATTCTTCGTGGTGCTGTATGAAGGTGCTATGCTGCCAGTCTCACAACATTCTTGTTTTGTTTGTTGCCAAATGTGAAATCTGGTCATCTCCAAAGAGAAAAAATTCGTACTTTAATTGGGAAGGCCATCTAGATTCTATCTTGAGTAAGATAATATCTTACTCCGGGCTTTGAAGGGAGATCACTGTAAGAGCTGGTGTGTTCCAGCTGTGAACTTTGACAGTCTTTTCTCTAACTTGTGGTGCTGTTTCTTTTTTTAGTCAGGTTTGATAAGGACACGGAAGATCGAGTTCCTTATATCTCCATTACCTCAGCAGCTAGCACAGGAGCACAACTACACGTCACCTGCTGGACACCATCCTCACGTACTGTACAAACGAACCGCAGAAGAGAAGGTGCACCGGTACACAGTAGAGTCCAATCCCAAATACTTTTCTTTTGGTCATCACAGAATTCACACTTCCCACAAGTATCATGCTCAAGCGAATGGTTACCACCATGGAAGGTTTCAAAAGCAACATTTTTGTGGACGTCGCAAGAAATGTATGTAAGGAAACTTTCTCTCCTTGTTTGAGATAGTGGCTCTTAGAGACTGTGTGGTGATTCTGAGGTGTGGTTCGTAGTCACCTTTGTGAAGCAGACACAATGTTTTTAAATTATAAATTTCTAAAGTGAAATAGATATGAGAAACTTGGTCACTCCTTTAAACTGATGTCATCATCTATTTTAATAAGCCATCCCAATTGCTGTTTGGTTTTCTTATTCTCTACCTAGATTAAAAAATCCCTTGCCTGATTTTTTTGACGTTGACATAGTTTTCAGTAAGCAGTTCTGGTTTAGATTCTGCTTTTGCAAAGTGGTGGATACCAAGTCCCTGAACTGCCCTCTGTTAGTTTGGGGGCATGTAATCAGGCTTGAAGATGGAGAAAAAGTCTTCCAAGTCATTTTTTTCTGTGAGGACAGCAAATAAGTCTTTCAGAACTCACCATTTGATAATGAAATTTTCAGCAACTGAGGTCTTCAAAAGCAACCTCCCATGGAAATTGTTTAAATAAGATTTTGGAGTCACCTCTTAAAAAACATATTGGAATACGTTATCCTGCCAAGGTCTATTCTGAGTCCTTCATTAGGCCCTCAAATTGCAGAACATTTTAGAGCCCCCTTGGACCCTTATCTGTACTTACAGCATTCGGTTGGTTCTTTTTGAAAGCTGAGCTGCTTCTGAGCTGACTTCCTTAATAAGGGTCTCCAGGACTGCACACAGTATTAAAGCAGTCTCACTCCAGTTATATTCTTCCAACTTCCTACTAGAGTTCTGAGAAAATGAGCAGGTTCCTTTTCCAAAAAGCATGTAAGGAAGAAAGAGAAAAACAAACAGAAGGGAGGGAATAGAAAGGAGGTAGTGGAAAAGGTGGCTGTCTGAGATGAAGTCCTATTTGAGGCCTGAGAACTGCTTATTAAAATTTGACTGCTTCTTCAAAAATCCTTCTCCCTAGATTTGAACGCTGGACCTCAAATGCCAGATGCACAAGCCTGTAATTCAACCTGTAAACGTTTGCTTTCTGATGCAGTTCAAAACTACCTCATTGCATTCTCCCTTTCCCTCCTGTCTGCTTTTCCTGCCGCAGCGCAGAGGGTAACGGTGCTGTTAGCTCAGCTGCTCTGCAGTCTTTTATTTTCTTTGCATTGTCCACTCTGGTCTTGCGCCTTTATTTACTGTACCCCCTGTGACTGCTTGTCCAAAATCAGAATTATTCATGTCCTCTTGAGGTTTTACATGTTGCTTATCCCTATAATAAATGAGGGCGTTTTGAACAGTGTATTTTCATAACCTCCTGGGATGTGAGAAGATATTACCATTATTCCATCTCATAAATGAGACTCACAGACACAGGAGAGGTCAAGAATAACCATTGCTTCTGGGTACCAAATTGATAAACCGAGTTTTTCTTTAAAATACTTATCAGAATATATGTTCCTGTAATTGTATATGTGTGTCTATATATCCAATAATTTCAGTTACAACTATGAGTTCTTTGCTGCATATTCAAGCTGGGTTTATGTTACATGAAGAACATGAAATTAGCACCCAACTGTGATGAGTTTAGTGTAAGTGATTTACCCATCATTGCTTAGGAACTCGGTGTCAGACTCACTGTTAGAATCCGATTAAGCAAGATTGCATTTAATTACCTTAACCACAAAACTCTTTCTTTTCACAACCTGCAGTCTTTCACTTCATGTCGTAAATACCTGTAACCTCCTAAGAGAAAGGAAGGAGGAGTTCTGAAAAATAACAACCTATTTCTATACCCAGCCTTGGTTAGTCTACAGAGCAAGTCGATCTCGTGTTCACTGAACGAATGCAGTCCTATGAATAAAATTATGTGTCATCGTTTAATTGACTAGGGGCAAATATAGGATGTAGAAAAAAACATATCACTCCAGTAAAGACAACACCCCTTCTGTGAGCAAAATCCAGTCCGGTCACCTGAAATAGAAAATTTCAGCTTGACTGAACAAAGGCTTTGAGAATGCAGTCTTACGGAAGGCAGGTTTCGCTGTTAGCTCTGCCTGCTCAAGGCTAATTTATCCTAACCTAAGAATGGATCCAAGCTTGCTGAAAAGGAACAGGGAAGAGCAGGCTGACACTTGAAGTGTCATAAAAGTCCCACTGACTGTCTTTAAAATTTCATATACTGGCAATTTGTAAGCACTAGAGAAGCCAGTTAATCATCTTTCAAACTCTTCTTCACAATCTACATGTTTTTAGATCATGAGAACAGTAGCAGTGAAGTTAATTCACGAGCAAAACTCCACTTCTCGTGGATTTGAGTCAAATGCCTTGAAGTTGTCTTGCCTTCAAAATAGTACACGAAACCTGATGTGCCTTGAGTTGAACACTTCGCTCTTGGGTGAGGCATGTCGTCATGTTTTGAGGTGCTTCCAGAAGTGCTTGTAAAGGACAATTGCTTATAATGAGTGATACGTTTGAAAATCTACTGGCACAGTCACTTGCAATGTTAAATGTAGTTCAGAGAGACTTAGTTCTCAAAAGCAGATCACTGTTTTACAATCTATGGTATTCTTCATTTCCCACTTTGGCATGGAAGGAAGTAGTGTCTGTTTTAGCTCTGTTGTTGGAATAACTTTCTGATGAGGCACAGGCAGGATTTTTTAATTACCTGAGGCTCCCTCACGTGTGTCATGTTACATCCTGTAATGTTGTTCCTGTTGTTATCCAAATAGTATGTTAAAGTGGTCTTTGAGTTAATTCCTTATGCAAAGGCAGTGCAGGTTCATGCAAAAGAAGCTATGAATAACAGGAGCGTTATAGGACGTAGGACATAGATTTCTTTCCCTATTTCCTGGCTCTCTGAAGAAAGGGAGTAGAGCCTGTTCTCTGGCCTTGCCATTGACCATGGTACACAAGCACAGAGGGAAAACACTGGGGTGTGCAGGCTGGATGCACGTATCCTGTTGTCAGGCCCTCCTTGCTGTTGCCTGACATTTCCCTATACTCGGTAAATACGTTCCCAGCAGGAATAATCTCAGAGGTAAATTCTCCTATAAGGCTGATGTCAATCACAACAGCAGCCTGGCAAGAATCTCACTTGTGGTGTGTGTCTGCTTTCTGTACTGACGGTGGACATCTGTTGTGGAAAGGAGTTTTTTACCAATTGCTATGTAAGTAGCACATGCCAAACACCTCAGGAAGTTATCAAAAGGAAGGAAAAATATAGATATTCTGTTAAAAATTCTGTGTGTACTTTTTGCAACAGATGCTACCATTTTCTTAGATTAATTCCTTATTTTAAACTACTTATTGCATATGAATGTGGTTCTCCCATTTCCTTCTCTCCCTGTAGCCATCCTTCCCTCAGGAATGAATCAGGTTTTTTTTAATAAATATACAAGAACTTAGCCATAAGTATTAAATCACATGCTGTAAAAATAATCTAAGGCTCTAAACCTCTGATGCTTCATTTTCTGATGAAACTGTTCATGGGTGATCTGAACCCTTTCCAGAACTGAGTTATATTTCCTTTTAGATGCACCTAAGCCACCCACAGAAGAGACGTACATTCGCTCGGATGAGTATGGGACTTCTTCAAGGTTCAAAAGATCATCTGCTAAAATCCAGAAAAATGGAAGTCTAAATGTTGAAACCCTTGTTGTGGCAGATAAAAAAATGCTGGAGAAACATGGCAAGGAAAATGTAACAACATACATCTTAACAGTTATGAATATGGTAAGACGTGGTGTAACAGAAGTATGTTTTCCCCATAAAACACTGTTATGTCAGAGTAGGATCTTTCATTAGACAAATACTGATACCAAAAAGAGCAGGGGAGCCTTACACAAGCCTTTCTTCAAGGCTCATGTAATGCATTACAAAAAGCTCTTTGAATCCTTAGATTATCATGGCTCTGGCAACCGTATTGTAGGGTAAACAAAAATTAAAAAACAGTAAAATATTTTAAATGTTAAATTTTAAAATACTTCTTATGTAGCACAAAAAGGCAGGTACCCTGAAATTGACACTTTTCTTTCATTTAGTATCATGGTGCTTACTTAGTCTGTTTTGTCTGATGTCTCTTCTTGAAACAAAAATTTGACAAAGCACAAATTTATTTTGAGAAAAGTAATATAATTTAACTAGAAATATGTTTTCCTTTGTGGCTTTGCTCTTTAGTTTTGTACTACAAAACTTGACCTTTGAACTTGATTACACTTGATCCAGGAGACCAAGGACAGAACAAAGCCCATTGATATCAATAGAAGGTTTTCAAGTTTTTTGAATAAGTGTAATGGTTTGAGGCGTAATTCTTCTGGGTTAAGCTCTTCTGGATTGATGCTGCAAGGTATATAACTGCATTAATTTGTATTGAAAGTTGAAGCCCAATGCAATAACTCAATAAATACATTTAGTCTATTTAAAAAGAAAAGCACATTATACATTTGTGAAGTTCACAAACTTGAGTATAAGAATTACCTCCTAAACGTGAGGAGGAACTTCTTTACTGTGAGGGTGGCAGAGCCCTGGAACAGGCTGCCCAGAGAGGTGGTGGAGTCTCCTTCTTTGGAAACATTCAAAACCCACCTGGACACGTTCCTGTGCAACCTGCTCTGGGTGGACCTGCTCTGGTGGGGGGGGTGGACTAGATGATCTCCAGAGGTCCCTTCCAACCCCATATGATTCTATGATATTTCCTCTTCAATAATTATTGCAGGTCTCTAGTCTGTTTAAAGATGGAACAATTGGAAGTGATATAAACATTATCGTTGTGAGCCTTCTTCTTTTGGAACAAGAGCCCGTAAGTTGTGTCAGAATTTTTGTGTGGTATTTACTTTATTTGCTGCTGTTCACAGGGAGCCCTGGGTGTGCCCGTGTCATGTATGTGAACTTTCATTAGAGGTTTCTTAAGACATAAAGCATGAGAAGATTAAAATCCCAACAACCCTCCTCCCAAATCACACTTTCTGCATTTCAGTACTTTATGGGTTTTGATACTAAAATCTTCATTTCATATAGGTGTTCTTTAGAAACAATGAAATGCTTCCAGTAAGATAAAACTTGACAATTGCCAGCATTTTCTTTAACAGTAATGGCTGGAATGAGAAATCTACTTAAGAAGTGTTTAAATAAATAAAAAGATTTTGAACTGGGCTTTCCAGGATGTGATGATCAGAAGGGGGAAGGAGTCAAAAGTCCCATGCTGAAAATAACATGTAACAAAAGGTGGGAGCGGAGCCAATTCTTTTGCCAAAGGTGCTGAGACAGAAGATGACAAAATCTCTTTTGATGAAAAGAAATTTGTGATAGGTTGATCTACTTGGATAATAGTTTTCCTTCACAGAAATCTCCAAGTATTTTAATCGCAAGGTTAAAAATGGCTTAATGTGCAGCTTTATCAGGAATCAAATATATTTTTACACTGTAATTCCTACAACTGACTCTGAAAATATCTATGTGTCTAGGGAGAGGTACAGTTTTATTTTACATTCGTAATAGATTCACTCATCAACTGAATCAGTCATCACAGAGAGTTAATGTGGGAATACAGAAGTTCATGTAGAACAAATCTGAAAAAGTAATTCCCTTTTCCCTAACCAACTCTTATTTTTCCAATCACCTTTCTCAAGTACTAATGGAAGCACCTTATTTCTGTGTCTCTGAAATATCTGCAGGGTGGATTACTGATTAACCACCATGCGGACCAGTCGCTGAACAGCTTCTGCCAGTGGCAGTCTGCCCTGGTTGGGAAGAACGGAAAGCGCCACGACCACGCCATCCTGCTTACGGGCTTCGATATCTGCTCCTGGAAAAATGAGCCCTGTGATACTTTAGGTATGATTTGAAAACACATTCTGCGAAACTTGTCATCTTGATTGATAGAGACTGAAATGTTTTAAAATAAAAAAGTCCATTTTTGCACATAATGTTAGCTTTCTTGAAGAGGAAAGAACAGTATTATTTTTACATATTTGTCTTTGAGGTACCTAGAAGAAAAAGAGTATTACCGGTATCATTGCCCCAGAAGAAGTGACAAAATAAGCTATCTGGAGACATCCTTTTGGATTGTTACCTCTTTGAGGAGTATTTTTGACTTCGATAATGTATCTGAGCTGCTCTGATATTTTCTTTTTTCTTTTTATGACTACTTGCCCTTTTAGAATGGGATTCCTCCCTAATTCGGGAGCAGAAAGACATGACGGGGGAAAAGACTAATCTTAACAAGTAAAGTGTATTTTGGGAGGGTAGGTTTGAATTATACTTCTTGTACAGGAGTCCCTTTATTGTCAAATAAAAGTTTGCTTTCATGATAAACCTGATGCAGTAGACAACCATCTTCATGCACCACGATAGATGGGATTGTAGTGGCTTGTTGGGACCAGTGCAGATGATGTGTATTTGGAATTCTGTAGAGCAACAAGCTATTCTGCTGCTTCCTTCCTTCAGGATTTGCACCCATCAGTGGCATGTGCAGCAAATACCGTAGTTGCACCATTAATGAAGATACAGGCCTTGGACTGGCTTTTACAATTGCTCATGAATCTGGACACAAGTAAGTTTCGTGAGTCTTACATGCTCCTTCTATAAGTAAAATATTTAAGTGAATGGAAACATAGCACCAGTTAATATAAATAGGTTAAATATGGATCATTTCTAGAGAGCTATACATGATTACAATATACAGAGCACCCGGTTAATGCATTTGCCTTATTAAATATCATCTCTTCAACAATTGTGAAATTAAGCACTGTGGGATTTTCATTGATTTTGCTGCCATCGGCAGAGGGGACCTTATTCTGATACAGTTACCTCACAACTATTTCTAATTTGACGCGAAACTATAGGCGATTTTAGGCCAAACAGAGTCAAGACTCTTCACTCAGACACATGTTCTTTAGCATGAAATGGTGCATCAGCTGCCCAGGGTTCTTTCCTTTTTTTTTTTTTTTTTTTAACATTTAATAACCAGAACAAACAGTAAAAGCTGACAGCAATAATCTACAAGTTTCCCATGCTGCTACCATGTTCTGGTAGACAAATTGCTTTTAGTGTCACTGTGGTTGCTCCAAAAATAGAAAGGACACTGCAGTTCACAGTATGGAGAAGTGATCTCTCTGAGTCTCTTACAGGTCCCTTTCCCAGAAGACCTGCTGTTTCATAGGATCTGGGAGCCCTTCATTCCATCCAACCTGCCCTTGTTTGTTCTCTCTACTATTTAATGTGTGATCTGGCTAAAAAGAGCCGTTATGGTGTTTTCTGCCTTTCTGTATCTATATCCATTGGATTTCCATTTGATTTCTGTGGTAATGGAACTGTAATTTTCCTAAGAACTTGTAATCTCTCAAACAAAATCAGTAATAATCCTCCATGGAGCTTCAGCTGTTCTCTGAATCGTTGAATTAAACCTAAAGATGATTAGGTTTTGCTATCTTGTTTTTTTCCCCAATAATTTTTCACAACTTTAGGCATGGTTTTGCTTTTCAGTTTTAACATGGCTCAAGCTGGAGTCTGTCTAATCCCTGGCAGTGTAAAAGCATATTTTCTCTATGTGATACAAACCTGAAATCAAGGGCGAGATAAAACATGGGCCTAGGATCTTTATTTTGTGCAGCAACGTTACTGCACAGAGTATCTTTGACAAGCGGTGGTTCTGTGTTCTGCTGTTTGGTCAAGGCATGAATCCTTCCCATTCTGCGTGACTGAATCAGGACTATTTATTTTTCATTGTACAAATATGCTCTACAGTATATACTATGACCTAATGTCTACATGAGTGACCCTTTCAGAGGTTTCTGTACATCTGAAGGGAAACAAGGAATTAAAGAATAATCCAGCTACTAGTGAAGCCCGTGGGAATTGTGCCAACGCTTTCAATGGGACCAAATATGTAAAATCTATATTGTTTGATCCTCCTGTCACACTGGTACAATTTCACTGACCTCAGTACATTTTTAATGTCCTTCGATCAGTATTAGGAGAAAATCAGGACCATAAGTTATTTGTCAAGAATTATCCCCTTAAGTCTATTAATGTGCTTCCTTCCTGTTTATTTTCTTATTTGTTTTGAGAGATTATGCTTGGAATTTTTTTAATGTTGGAGTTTTTTTTTTTTTTTATTTTTCACCACTGCCTTTGATTCTCATATTATTCAGCCTTTCTTTGGTTTACTTCCATACTCCTGTCTAATAAAATGCATTTTACCTCCTGGAAAAAATCTGTGCTAGATACAGCATGTCTTTATTATCATTTGTTCGTGTTCATGTTCCTGAGACTGCCCACTACATCGTGTAAGACAACAGAATTTGGTCTCTGTGACACAGAGATTCCTGGAAGCAAAAAAACCTGTGACAGCCTTGATGATGCTGTGAATACATTAACCTAAGGATTTCATAGTCAGAGAATCTTGTGTATTGTATAGATCACACTCTGTGATCCACTGATAGCTTCAGTTGTTACACCTTTTTACGGTTTTCTCTTGTTTTTACCTGAAAGCTTAACAGCTCCTTTGGGAGTGCAGAGCCCGTGCTGTCAGTGGGTATAGAAACTGTGGGTTCTTTGGCTGCAATGCATGTGAACAAAGTATTTTATAAAGTATTCTAAAGTATTAGTTCAGTTGGGATTTTCTCTGTCCATTTATAGAAGAAGCCCATATATTTTAGCAAGTTTGGAGCCTCAGCTGGTGGCAACATATGCACTATTTCTGATGAGCCTGCAATGATTTATAACAGCAGAGGATCGAGTCCAGTAAATTAGATATTCCCTGCATGCACACAGATTACATTCATAAAGTCGCCAAAGTACTACAATGTTAAAGTAACAGATTATGAAGTTTCTATTCAAAACACATTGAAATTCACAGATGTCCCGTACAGTGAGTAAATATAAGACAGTGAAAGGAAAAAAACCTGGAAAATTAGCTTTATTATAACCACAAGCTCCACATAATTTATCATTTTTAACATGGCTTTTATTATTGCTTATTATTCTTTATATTATCCTAACACCGCTCCTCATGAAAGCAGGGCCTTGTGGTGCTGCAGACTGAGCAAAGCACCCGACGAGAGGCAGTCTAGACAAAGTTACTGACCATGTATAACAAAGGCAAGGAAAAGAAAGTGATTTACTTGAGATAATATAGCACATTAGTGGCCAGAATTAGAAAAAGAATGATATTGGATATTGGTAGATGCCCCCTCCCTGGAAACATTCCAGGTCAGACTGGACAGGGCTCTGAGCAACCTGATCTAGTTGAAGATGTCCCTGCCCATTGCAGGGGGGCTGGACTAGGTGACCTTTAAAGGCCCCTTCCAACCCAAACTATTCTATGATTCTGTGATACATATTGTTTCATACTAATAGTCATTTGTATGGTGCATGTGTTTTCATCCATTTGGAATGAAAGGGATGAATTCCACATTCCCTGTGGACTTTGAGTGTATATCTGTTACCCAGAAAGTGTTTCTTCTGCCCCAAATTGTCTTTTGCTTCTGATTAACCTCGATTTTTGCTCTCACACCTGGTTCTCTTTTCAGCTTTGGTATGATTCATGATGGAGAAGGAAATCCTTGTAGAAAAGCTGAGGGTAATATTATGTCTCCCACACTCACAGGAAACAATGGAGTGTTCTCTTGGTCAGTATGCAGCAGGCAGTATCTCAACAAATTTCTCAGGTAGGTCAGATGTAAATCTGGGCCGGTGCCAGGGAACGTATCTTTAGTAACTGGGCTTGAACTCTTGAACAGACATAAAAATTACTTAAGTGTGAAATTCACTTCTTTTAAAATGTACTGAAACCCGTGCACTATTTGAGCCCACACACTTGGCCTTGTGAAGCGTGTAGCTGGTACGGCACAGAAGTGGTTTTGCCCTGCCTCGTTTCAAAAGAAGGAATTTCACCCTCCGTGGGTATCCTGCAGTAATGACTGGCATATCATTCTTTCCCAGGCATTCCTGTCAGCAGCCAAGTTTATTAGAGAATTAGTAGGAAGTGAACACAAAGGAGGGCAGACACAGTGGTTCCAAAGTCATTACAAAATGTAAATTAACATTAGTGGCCTTTCTCACTGGTGTTTCTCTCTTGATCTAGCTCTTGTCACGACTAAGGACATTTTACATTTCTCAGGTACTGTTTCTGGGGGGAATAGAAAGGAAAAAGAGAAAGATGTGTAGCATGTTGGCATTACTCAGTGATGCATTTAAATGAACTGGTTTTTTGGTCTGTGTTTAATGTCATCAGAACTGCAGTCCTGTACAACTTTCCTTTTATTTTTTTTGTCATACATAGGGAGGCTGTACATCATTACTAAAAAATTTGTAAGTGGTACTAAGAACCCAGCTCCAAACCAGCCATTTTACCTGTTGATTCCTTAGAGTGAGACTCACGCTCCTAGACAGGTCTGATCCTTGGATTCCAAGTTAGTATCTCAGAGTAGCAGGACAGGTGACAGTTCTGGTGATTTTGTTCTGCTGCAAACCGAGTAAATTGCAAACTCAACAGTCAGATAAGCCCTGCAGCATGCAGTATGGTCCCAGAGACTTACACTTGGATGATAAATCCAGCGTAGAGTCACTTCTGTACACATAGATGGGCTCTCAAGCACATACAAAGGAAAAAGAGTAGACCGTCGGGTACTTTTTGGTGTTAAGCTGGACACAGCCAGCCCACAGCAGCCCAGCTGCAGCAGCCTTCTGCTTGTCTGATGCTGAAATGAGGCAGTGTGCCTGTTGATTCCTGATTTTGGGAATCCATTGAAGGGAAAAAAGCAGACTAGACCACCTTGCTCTTGGTTACACTTGAATAATGGAAGGAAAACAATTTTACATCCTTCTTTCTCATTGTCACAACAGTCCTAAAGCCTGGAAATTCCTGCTTCCTTAAAAGTTGGCAGGTCAGGCTACCAACAAGATGTCGAGATCTTTTGGCTCCTGCAGTCAGATACTCTCATTTCAGTGCATACCTCTAAAGCTAATTAAAGGTACTGTATAGCATATTATGTGTTTTTGCTGGTCTGTAGCAAATTAAAATATTTTGATATAAAGATCATGGTCATGTTTAATATACATTCTCGTTATAGTACAGCTCAAGCTGCCTGCCTGATTGATGAACCTAAGCAAACAGGACAGTATAAATACCCTGACAAACTGCCAGGGCAGATCTATGATGCTGATACCCAGTGCAAATGGCAATTTGGAATGAAAGCAAAACTGTGCAACCTCAGCTTCGTAAAGGTACCTATTGATATACTTCTGAAAACTCAAAATTACATTTGAGATCTGCAGTACACTAAATAAGTACAAGTCATACAGTGTTCTTCGGAGGCCTGGGCTATTTCTCTACCTTATCTTGCTTGGCAATTTGCTTTGAAGGTACTGGCCTGTTTTGAGGAATATCTAAATCCCAGGGGCGTTTCAGAAAGAGAAGTGTTCTCTCTCTCCAGGAGTCAGGAGGAGTGCAGCCGAACACGAGAGACCGTGCTGAGGAAACGAGCGGCAGCAGAGCTCTGATCAAAACTTGCGTGGGGTGGGGGGTAAAAAGGCCTAAGTTTCTTGTGTTTTGTTTTACTCATGCATTGACAGCAAAGTCTGGAAAAGATCTAAAGGCTTATTTTAGAACAATAAAAACGTAACTTATACTCTTGACTTCATGATGAAGGATTAATTTAGGTTAACCCGTTATTTTAGTGACTGCCGCACTCCTTGCTGATCTCTTCAGAGAAGACGTTTTATTAAATAATCTGGAGTACTCGTTCTGAAAAGCAGTATTGTCATTTCTTTTACTCCTCTTATCATCCTGGAGTATTTTGATTTATTTTATACTGACTGCATTTATCAGGTGATGGCAGCTGTGTTTCTTCTACAGCTCATAAACAAAGAAGAGAGAGTAACAGCGCTGTGAAGAGACTGGTTCCAGATATCTCCTGAGCTTTAGAAAATCATCTTCACAGTATTATAGTTGCTGTAGACTTGATGAAATTTTAGCCTTGAACCTTTTAACGCAGATTTTATTCTATTATAGTCTCACACAAAAAATAGTTTTAAAAAATATATATAGGGAAGCATAAACAAGACAGCAATATACAGGATATGGCTGTGCTATAACTCTTAAACCCTGGATTTTCTAAAGTCAGAAAAGTTTTTATCTATATAGCTTTTAAGGTAGCAAAGGCATGTATTTTTTGTTACGCTTTCTAAACACCAGGAAATAATGGAAATGATGTGTATATAATGAGTACTTTTTTCTTTTCAGGATATTTGCAAGTCTCTCTGGTGTCACAAAGTGGGTCATCGGTGTGAGACAAAGTTCATGCCAGCAGCAGAAGGAACACCATGTGGGATAAGTATGGTAAGTTGTTTTATAAATAGGACCATGTCATTCTAACTTGGTTTTAGACTATATTGGGTCAAATACCAGCTCCTGTCAAAACCAGTTTTATCCAGATCCCTCCAGATTTGCTACCGTGGACTTCAGGATTGCTCGCTAAAAGATTGTGTTGCGATACACAGTCAGGACTGGTCCTCACAGTGACACCTCTCTGATGGCAGGAGTGATGCTTCTCCCAACAAGCTGTGGAATAAGATACATCTGGCAAATCTAAATCACTAAGAAAAGCCATTAATTATAACAGAAGTAGATCAAGGCTTCAGATTCCGCTCTGACACAAACATTCCTTAAGCCATAATGTTTGCTATACAAAGACCATCATGCATGTTATCATCAGTGATCACTACTAAAAGAGCACGTTTATTTGTTTTAGTTGAACCTTCTAATTTGCACTCAGCTATAGTTACCCAAAATATTTTCTTTTGTTGTAATGTTTTTCCAGTAGAATAATGTTTTAATTTTCAATTTACTGACAAATGTTCCATTTTGCTTTTTCTCTTTGTGCATTAAAAATAATTGTGCAGTAATTTTGTGCATAAATTAACATGCATCTTTTGGGGAAGAGTAAGCCAAAAAGGTACTCTCCAAGAGAACCGTTTTGAAAATTTGTACCTCAGAGATCTTCAACTCAGAACGTGGACAAATTTTAGGACATAACTTATCTATACCATTGTGTGGATCGATGTCCTGCTTCAGAGTCCTTGTCCTACTGTGAACCATCTCGTTGAGTTCAACAGGTGACCTCATGGTTTATTAGGGTTAAGCACTGGAGCTTTTAAATGTGGATTTTTTCTTTTTTGCATCTACTAGGTACCGCTAACTCTGATGGGATGTTTTTTGGCATTCTTTTGGCAGTGGTGTCGAAGAGGTCAGTGTGTCAAATACGGTGATCATGGACCCAAACCTGTAAACGGCCAATGGTCGGCCTGGTCCGAGTGGTCACAGTGTACTCGCACTTGTGGAGGTGGGGTCACATATCAGGAAAGACACTGCAATAATCCAAAGTAAGACATAGATGTGAAAAGGTATTAATTTTATACGAACTATTGATGTTATTAGAAAAAAAAAAAAGAAGTCCTACAGTCCATTTCTGTAGGGAAATAGTATGTGTGAAAATGTTTGTAAGACCTTTCTTTCATGTCCAATGTGACCAGTCAGTAGCTGAAAGACAGAAATGTGTCATGATACTGGAAAGTAGTGGCTGGCTGAAGACTGCTAGAGAACTAGAACACTACAGTGCCCAACTTTCTCTATTTATTTTGTTTCACTACAGTTTATCAAATTCCTGCAAAAGTAAGGAAACACCACACAGACATATTCACACCTCATCATTTAAGAGCAAGGGAAAAAGGTCTTAAAAGCTATTAAGACTTCTGATCAGATCATATTATCCAGGATATTAAACCAAAAATGTTTGAAGTCAATATCAAAATGGTTGTAGACAGATGTCTTTGTATGTCTGTCGTGTTCTTTGCATTATTTTGTTTCACGGGTCTGACTAAAGTTGCTCAACCCTAGAATTGTATGTGAACTCATGAAACATTTCTGGTATTTTCCTCTAGAGAATGTCTTACCACTGTAAATACTACTATTCCTTAGAATATGATTTCAAAGTAAAGTGCTGTCTCACCAGCATCTTTCCCAACTACTCAATTCACTTCAACTTACATGAAAAAAGGATTTAACTGTTTTATTTCATACACAACTTCAACAGGCATAGACACATGTATTCTTCATTGCACACAATAAAAACAGCATTTAAACTGCAGCAATAAAAACCAGAGAAAATATGACACAGTTTATATGAGGCTGTAAAGAAGCCTCACACCTACTACACACTGCTGCAGTAATAATATCCACGCTTCATCCACTATGTTATAGGAAAATGTGAGTTAGTTAAAATAGTCTTTATTACCCTCACTCAGTCAAGCCAGTTTTTGCAGATCCATAGCTGAGCTTTTTCTCAACATTTTCTGTTGTTTCTTAGTGTATTTTGATAAAGTTACTTGGATATTTTGCTTTATGAAACTATTTAGCAAGAGAATGCAGGGTCTCAGTTACACATCACACATACATTTTTGGTCTTCCTACTTCGATCCCTGTTTTGCCTGCTAAATTTGTATGTATGCATGTTATTCTTTGCATTTAGTCATAAGCCCTCCCTTGCTCTGCCTGACAGAAGGGTGTCCAGTAGTTGAAATGTTTCCCTTTGGTGCACTGTTAGAACTGATTAAGGTTTCCAATGGTCTTCAAAAAGAAAGAAGATCTTTAACATGAAGGGTGTTACTGTAGCATTTTGTATTTAAAACTTGCATTAAGAGTGAGCTGTCTGTTCTAATTAAAGTAAGACTTGATTCAAGATTTGATGTAACCAAGTAAGGCTTGATACTAGAACTGGATGATGTTTATACTAAACTTAATTTTGTTATATTAGTGATAATTCAGTTAGAGCAAGGAGAAGATGCTATAAATCCCTCTCAGAGTTAGAGTGATGAAATGAGAGGACTATAAATAAGCCATCCACACAACAGCATACGAATACCCAGGTAGCTGTGTTTCCCATCACAGCACATTTATATAAATGTGGAATCATTAGAAAAATGATACTATCCATTTTCAGTGTTACACCACATGGAATGATTTATAACCCAGTCACTGTTCATTATTCACCTCTATAACTACACATAAACAAAGAATAATGATTCCTTTCTTTTTCAATTTCTGAAATATATTTCAGATGTTTATATAGTTCGGTATATATATGTATATTATTTCATATGTAATATATTTATTTCCCTTTTCCTAATCCAGATTTGTGTAGGAGCTAATGTTTATTTTGTTCAAAAGCTTGATAGATTATTTTGGATAGCAAAATTTTGAGAATGAAAGAATAAAATGTATTTCTTTAAGAGATTAGGACACAGGGTGTGGATCTCTGAAGAACTGACTGAGTATAGAACAAAGGTTTTAAAAAAACAGTCATTTTTCAAAGCAACTGAGTTCTTATAAACACTGAGGGAGATTTCTAGGTTTCCAGTGATTTTAAGGGTGACGCATCTTATTAGAAGCTTAAAGACAGGTGAATAACACAAATTCACGCTGCTGCTTATGAAAATCTTGTTACCTGTGCTTGTATGTGGAATTCTCCTCTTGCAAATAATATCCAACCAACTCAGTTCCCTTTCTCTTGGCAATTTTCAGACAGAGCTTGTGCCCACACCCCAGCAGCTCTGGGTATGGCTTCGCAATGCCCACCGGAGCTCTGTGCGAATTCATACCCGCAAACACCTATGGAGGTCATCTGTGGAGCACAGGACTATGCAGATTTGCTAAAATCATTATGTTTCTGTAAATTGTCACAGTGTAATTTCATGGATCTGGTTTTCATACATGACAACATTTTACAGTTGAGGTACTTTTCCAAGATAGAAATAGATTACATAATTTAATAGTTTAGCTGGGAAAGAACCTGAAGAGTGCCCGAGAGATTTAAATTAATACCTAAATCATATCTGCGGGACTGCATCCTGCCCACTGCACAATAGTGCATTGTTCAGGAGGAGCAGAATGGAGCTCTAGGCATGTGTGCAATCAGAAGGCTAAATCAAAATGGCTTGAACACATCTTTTTAATCTTTTGTGTACAATATCTGTAACGGTGATTAGGGACAATGCAGATGTAAAATGATGCAAAGTAATGATGCCATTTAAAATACTAATTAAAACAGAAGACTTGGAAAGACCTTGTAGGCCTTTCAAATTCAGGCAGAATAAAATAGTCTAGCTTTGTGATACTACCATGATCTGCTCATAATATGAGCAGAAATGTTCTCACTTGAATGTAAATGATTACAAAACACGAAAAAACAGGAGTTCAGAATTTCAGAGTCTAATTCCCTTTGTAATGCATAAAATACGTTCCTTGATCAGGTTAATTCCAAGATTTCTCACTCTCTCTGTTGCCTTGCAGTGCCTATCCATTTTACTTTTGTTGTCTGTGAAGTCTATTCTCAAGAGGGTACTGCAGAATTAACTAAGCCAGTCTTGTTGCATTTTAATATTGGGGTCTGATATGAAGTGGAGCACTTGCATCTTTGCACTTACACTCCTTTTTCAAATCATTCTTCAGAGACTGTTTTTTTACTGGACTTTCTCACCAAATTTCTCCCTTTTCCAATTATCCTCAGCAAGGCCTCAGCTCTAACAGCATCTATTCTTGCAGGTATCTTTACCTATATATATTTATATGTGTACCTAGGTTATGTCTGTATTAGGAGCAGTGTACAGCTATAGAAATACTGGAACAGCCTCTGAGCTTAGTTACAATTCCATGGTAAGTGAGTTACCAACAGAGCTTCCGCAGGCAGTCAGCCCGAAATCTACAGGTGGTATAAACGTCACCAATAAAAGCATGATTTTGTCAGTGTAGGTAATAATCTTTTTTTCAGAAATTTGTTTTTGTACATCTAGTTTCCTGTGAATTGCTTAACTCTTACTGACATCTTGTTGGTAAAAAAAGGAAGGTGGGGAAGTTTCTGTAATTCTCTGGCCAACGGTTTCAGCACTGGGAGTGTACTGGAATATTAAATGCTGTAGCGGAGCCGGGGAGCAGAATGCCTCTCTCAGCGCTCCCTGGGTTTGGTGGAATTTTATACCATCCGCAAATGCAAGACTGTGGCTAGAAATCACGATCTAGCCATAAATAATGCCATTATATTGCTTGTTTGGTGGCATTTACTTGGAAGGAGGCTGCTTCTTTTCCTTACACTAAAGCAGATTTGTTCTCTGGGGCTGAAGGAGGTCAAAAACCATACATGTGCTGAAGCTGTAAAGAAAGTCAGTAGAGAATTGAGTAAGGACCCAGCAGTTTGGCTGCCTTAACTGAGAGCTCTCACCAATTGCACAAAGTCAACATAAATATTCCCACTTCAGTGATGGTACGTACCCTCCCTGCCCCTCACAGACTGAACTGCCACCAACTAGGACAGAAAATTTGACTTTAAGACCTTGGCTGTTACACTTGGTGTCAGTTTAGCAAGTAGGTGACCTCAAGAAAAGCCACTGGAAGTCGTTTTCTTTTTGCACAACACATTTTACTGGTGCTTTATCCCAGTTTTAAATAAAGTAGCAGGTGGGTTTCCACCTCTTCCTTTGAAAGACTGTTTTGTAGCCCAGAATTCTGGAAAAACCAGGCATAGTGTACAATCAAAGCCAATTCAAAACACAAAACCCAAGCCCCAGCTTGGTTAGGGAGTTAGACATATGGGGGTTGAAATTTATAATAAAGGAAAAGCACCTGGATATTTCTCCTCAGTGCTGCACCAGGCTGTTGGCGTATTGCTCCATCAGAGGCATGTTCAGAGAACCTGCATGGGGTACTTGCTATGGGGAACAGTTGTAATGTTTAGGGATTTAAACAAACAATTCCAATTATACTTGTTGCAACCGTATATTTTATACTATTATTAGTAGTTATTGTTGTTAGTTTATATCTTATTATTCAGTATCTTTTTTTCCTTAATGCATGTGTTATATGGGCGAGCTGTCCATAGCTTGTCTTCCAAGTATGTATGTTCCCTAGTTTTTAAAAATCACTATATAAATGTATGCAAGTGCAGCATTGTTACATTTCCTTTCACTTGACGCAAGAAATTGTATAATACAACAAACACTTCTTAGAATTTGGTGGTTTGAAGATTTGGCTCAGTACTTGCAGATGTATATCTGCGCATTGTGAAACTGCAAAAATAACATCAGTGAATTCCTGTGTAGATCCACAAGGAATACAAAAGTGAGTGAACACATTTCTCAGCCGCTCGTGAGACCTCTCAGTCACTTTAGAAAGAACAAGTCTTACATTTTACATTGTTTTACAGTCATTTGCTTGACCAAATAGTTAAAAACTATTATTCTGGTAAGATAAGATACTAGCAAAGTAATAGAATGTGCTCTTTTCATTCCGGCCAGAATGAAGGGAAATGCCCAGGTGAGGTTTGCTGAAGTAGATCTGACGTGTAAAGTTATCCCTGAATTCCAGCATTTTCCTGAAGCAGGACAACTATGCAGTCCTCCTTCCCTCTGACTGCTTTAAAAGCACATTTTTTCAAAGTGATTTACAAAACAAATGAACAACCACATGTAATTATTCATTCTGTTTATGTTTGATCAGTGTTATGTTATCCTTTATTAACTCTTATTGTGATAGGTAATTCTTTGCACATGTTCATTCCTGGGTTAACAGCAGAGCAAAAATAGCCATATAACAAGATTGAAACCAGCCAATACAAAATAGCCCTATAAATTTAAATTAGTGAAAACATGACTCACCTCTAGATGGTTGCATCTTTGCTGAGTTTGCAGTGATCCAAGTAGATAATTCATGGCAACTGCTTTGCTTGGTTTTAGGAACCATGAAAATTAATGATCTATATAGGAAATACTGATCTCCTAAGACAATAGGTCCTCTCATTTTCTCTGTTAATACACTGTAACATGCCAATCACACGAAAGTAGGTTTTGCAAAATAATATTTTTTTTCTTTTTTTTTTTTAGGCCACAGTATGGTGGCAAATTCTGCCAAGGTTCGGGTCGTATTTATCAGCTCTGTAACCATCAGCCATGTCCAGCAAACAGCCTGGACTTCCGAGCCCAGCAGTGCGCAGAGTACAACAGCAAACCCTTCCGGGGATGGTACTACAAATGGAAGCCATACACCAAAGTGGAAGGTAATTATGCCACGGCTCTGACGGACAAAGCAATTGCAGGAAGCAAGCTATAAGCTGTAATTCATCCATATTCTTTGGGCAAACATCACCCCGATGTAAGCAAACAGAAATTCAGTTGGCTTATTTGAGACGTGTTTGCTTTCTAACACAGTTGAATCTGGCCTCCCGTGCACTGCTGCCTGTAGGGACACGCAGAACTGATTTGGGTTGTGAATTCAAATCTTTGTCCTTAGCCTGACTCCCTGGCTGCTGCTACCCCTCTCTTTCATTTTCTATTACATATCTGTTAGTGTAAAAACAAAACAATTTCCATGGGTTTTTCAGCATGGGAAATGTGAGCTCCCACAATAACACCACCAGAATCTTCCTTCCTTTGGAATGTTCTCAGATTTCAAAATGTAACAATAAATCAACCTTTTGACTTTTCTGCTGGTATAGTCCCATGAGAATTGGAAAAGCAAACAATGTACTGGCATAAAATTTTTGAAGTCATCTTTTACTAAGAGATCTTTATAAAGTTCAGGTCTCGATAACTATTTCTTGTCTTTTGTACAAGCAAAGCTTATTTTTACTTTACACATCTTAATTTTGCAACTATTTGGAATCAGTATTCATTTTTACCAGATACACAGAGTATTTTCTACAGCTCCAAAGCACAGTTTCTAGCTGAAATTGCTACTACTTGACTAAAAGTGGCTGGATTATGTCACATTGTAGCTGCTTCATTTAGCACCTGTGCAAATTTGCTTTTAATGATAATTATATATATATACATTTACATGTAACTTTCATTCATAGCCTGATTATATTTTCTTCAAAGGACTCTGGCATGAGTATTTAGAAACCTGTGTCCCAACAGCCACTGTGAACAGCAGAAAGAGGAAATAACGGTTTCACAGCATGTAACAGGGGCTGCTGTACAACAGGGAGAATAATGCATCTTGTTAAACAGAAATTAAGGCAGCCTACTTGGTCGGGGCTGGATTTAGTAAAAGAAATAGGAGATTAAAATTAGGGACAAAAGACATAATTTTCAAAAGCAAGACATGTCCGTGTGACACTGAATTTGAAAATGCTGTCCTTACTCTCTTCGCTGCTTTTCAAGATCTCCCCCAAGGTCTGCCTTTATAGTCCTGAAAAGATCTGGTTTTCAAAGTTGCTCCAGATGCCTTGCCTCTCTAGAAACTACTACTGAAAATCCAACTGCTTATTTAAGAATAAAAGGATACTATTTTGAATCCAATTTCATGTTCTTCACGATTTGGTTATGCTGTTTTATTTTTTGCACTTACTTTTTGTATTAAAATTGTGTATTTCAGCAATTGTTGCAATATTTACAATTGCATGACTATTTTATATGCTTTATGAGCATAACGTACCATGTGTATAACAAGAAATTTGATTGACAATGGTTGGGATTTTTTAGAGGAAAAATCCTTTTGTTAGGGGAACTTCTGGCTCCAGTCCTAGCTTTCAGCTGAACTGATCATTTGAGCCATCTTACCTTTTTCAAATTTTAATCAAAAATTAAATAAAATTATTAGTCTCCCATTTCTCTTAATAAAAAAAATGAAATTTGAAAGTGGGAACCAGTGGAACCAAAATGGGGGCCACATCAGCAGAGCTAATGCAATGTACGTGTTTTCACACAGAGTTTGAATTCTGAATTGTGTGTGTGGACAGTCAAACCCACACGTCCTTCCAAAATAGAATAGTACTGGTTTGGGGTTTTTTTTTAAACTGTGCTGCAGGTCTGCTAATACTTTCTTGTCTTGTGTTTTTGTTTTTGTTTTCCCAGAGGAAGACAGATGTAAATTGTACTGCACAGCTGAAGACTTTGACTTTTTCTTCGCAATGTCCAGCAAAGTGAAGGACGGAACCCTGTGTTCTCCAAATACATATGATGTTTGCATTGATGGAATATGTGAAGTAAGATAAAACTAAGTTTTTCATAATCCTAAAGTCTATATTTTTTCAAGTGGGTAGTTGACTCCTTTATGGAAAATCCAGCTGTTTTTTCAAATTCCCTTGTATCCGAGTCCTTCACTTGTGCCTTTTGGTTGCAGCAAGTAGGGTGTGATCATGGACTTGGTTCCAAAGCTGTACTGGATGCCTGTGGAGTTTGTAAAGGAGATAATTCAACATGCAAGTTCTTTAAAGGCCAATACTTGATCCAGCACAAAGCTAATGGTAAGGAAAACTGTTCCACATGATCATCAACTCGTTGCTCTGCTCTATCCCTATGTAATATATATGACTCCTTGCTCATTAGGGCAGTGGCTAAAAGTCCAGATGTGAACTGAAAATCACAGCGAGAGTGAGAGGAGAGTTCACATTTCTCCTGTTTCTTGGTAACAAGAAAGCTATGAGCATAAGTCTTGGTTAGTTAATTCACAAGCATTCCTCTTGTTTCTTAAGCCACATTTTCCTTTTACGTGTGAATTTCCTCTTAAAAGAGATTTTAGGATTCAGGCAAGTGAAAAAATAGCTGTCAACAGCTCTGACTGGAATGGGACTGTAGAAGATATAAAAAGCAATACATAGCAGAATGCCAAAAATGACAGAATTTCCATGTCCATTTTCAAATTAAGTTGACTGGAAACTGTCCAGTTGATTCAGTGGATGATCCAGTCACTGGGAGGTGAACTTTTCCTCAGTGGACTGTCACAGGCTTCTCATGAAATAATCTCACTATGCCTCAGTTTCTCAGGCATAAAAAGCAGATAATTTCTTTACCCATGGCAGTATTTTGCGGGTCCATTTATTGTTGATCATAAGATATGTCAATACTACAGTGATATAGGCCAGGGAATTGTTTAGGAGGTAGCAATACAGAGATACAATGCTAAAAAATAATCTGAACTGAACTGCTGGTGACATGAGCTGTGCACAGAGACATCAGCGGTGTCTCATCTGGCTGCAGTGAGCGAGGTTTGTCCACGCTGGGAGTGTGACAGCTCCCAGCAGGGAGGGCCAGTGGTGGACGGGGCTTTGTGGAAGCTCTGCTGCATCCCACCACATCTCACCTCAAAAACCTCGTCCGTGCTGGAAGCAGTACCTTCCAATGACTGTAGGGAGCTACAGGGAAAACATGGTAAAGCAATTACAGTGAAACCACCGTTAGTCTGTTCAACATTTTTCTAAGGTGAACTTGCTTTTTCTTGTCTTTAATCACAAAGAAAAATTCCAGGAATTGAAATACCTCTGAGTTACTCTGATTACAGGCTGCACAGGGGGGTTAAAATCAGCACTGTTTTCTCCTTGTGAAAACAGACTTTGGTGGATCAGAACAGCTGTCTTTTAAATGGCAAAAAATTTCAAATCATGTCACAAATGATGAGCCATCGCTATCTGTATGAGAACTGCAAAAACGTTGCTTATTTCTTTCATTTCAGACTACTACACCGTGGTCACTGTTCCAGCAGGAGCACGCAGCATCCAGCTCCACGAGATGCAGATCTCCACCAGCTACCTTGCTGTGCGCAACCTCGGTAAAAAGTACTACCTAACGGGAGACTGGACCATCGACTGGCCAGGGAAGTTCTCCTTTGCTGGAACGGTTTTTGATTATCAACGCTCTTTTAACCATCCCGAGAGTCTATATGCAGCGGGACCGACTAATGAGACGCTGGTCTTTGAAGTAAGCTTTCTTCTGTTTATTCTTCCCTTGATGTCTATTACAGAATTAGGAACGACAGCTTTAGCTCTGCACTGTGGCTCTCAGCGAGATTAAAGAATAGCGTTGAGTCACGATAATATTCAGGCTTAATTGTGTGGTCATGCTAGATTGAAAGGCCTTTCACCAGTTTATCAAGGTCTGAAGTTTAGTAAACTGTCACAAATTCAGTGAAAAGGAAGGTGCATAAAACACACCATACAGCATTCTTTCTCAGTTGCTGCACAATGGTAATAGAGATTATAAACACATCCCATAAACAGCCTACAATAAAATTCAGTGATGTAAAAATTAAACCTAACATTGAGGCAAGGCTTAATTGTAACAGCTTCAAATAATGCTTCTGAAAAGACAGGTACAGGTAATCATTTTTAACATCCACCTTGGGACACAGATAGTCAAAGTACCACACATGGGCTCCTGTGCAATTTCTGTTGATTCACTTTTATTGGTGAAAACATCTAAAATAGAGAAGTTTATACGTGTTTATCTTCCAGTCACCCAGTTTCTATCACCTACTCTGTCTGCTAGATGTCTTGTCTTGAAACTGTATTTCGTAGAAAGAAAATTTGGTACTTCTATGGTCTGTTCCAGTGTTGCAATTTTGAAATTGGCCACTAATAGTTCTGTTCTAAGGAAAATCTCTTTCTGCATTAGGTTAATTTACTAGGTTTTCTTTTAAAACCTGTAAGAACATGTAAGGGTCAGTTTCTGGCTGAATCGCCCAAGTCTTCACTCCCTGTTAGCTGCATTACTCTGCCTGCTTTGTCAGAGAGCTCTACAAGTCCTTGGCTTTGTAACTCATCTGAGATGTCTGTGTTGATGAATCCTCCCCTGTGAGAAGGCAGGAGCGCTCCCAGAAGGGACTCAGTTCCTCCCCACCCCTCCCAGCAGTTCTCTGGCCTCTCTCTCTCTCAGGAGAGCGAGTGCTGTCCCCGCTCCTGAGGCCACAACCCACGGCTCCTCACCCATCTAGAGGGTTAAACTAAGAAACACAGCAAGTGTAGACTGTGACATGAAATACGTTCTTCAAGGATTATTTAAACTTTCACAACTATTCAGTGAAGTTTTTATTTGGAGTACTGAAGAGCCTTTCTGCTCTTCATACTGAGTAAGGTACTTAATGGTATCTTTACGATCCACTGAATTTCGTGGACCATGAACGCATGTTAAAGTACTTTAGGATGAACACATGTTCAGAATGGACAGTCTGACGTGGGCTAAGGGCATGTATTTTCACAAATTACCACCCCAATTTGCAATGCCTTTTAAAAACACTTTTTCTCAGTTGCAGAATTTTCATTTGGGGTATGTATGTTAATGGGGGTGCTTTAGTCCAAGGAAGGGTTTGGTCTAACAGGGACCACGCTTCCCTGTCTGCAAATCATCTCCAGAACAGCCTTACACCAAAGAAATGAGCACACTTATAAATACTATGAAATGTTAAGCTGAACTCTCAGGAATCTTATTTGTCATAGTACAAAGTAGATTGAACTGTATTATTATAGAGCTAAGTATGAATAATAAATTGCCTGCAAGATGACTTACTTGGCTGCATATTGTGCACATATTTGCAGAAGAAAGATTAAAGAAAAAAAATTTAATGCCAAATAGCACTTCTATTTTCATCCTATCAAATTATGCTAAACAGTTTTATTAAGATTTAACATTTAACTGGAGGCTATTGCTCCTATGAGAGCTTATTTAAACTTCCCTTGTATTTTTATTGAAATACCTACACCACTGGCATTGGTAACTAGGGATTCTAACGACTGAAAACGTTACAGTTACGTGTTCCCCAATTATGTGTATCTATGAGCTGTAGTTAAGATTTTTTTTTTCCCCTTTCAATAATTTAAGCAACATTCAGCAAACTGAATTCTGAAAAAAAAGTGCAAAATTTTGTCTGTTCAGAGATCTGCATAATTTATGATTTACTGGTAACCAAGCAACAAAAATGCCAATGAAAACTGAAAAAATGGTTTTATGAGAATATACACATATTGCTGAAGAGCTGTTTAGAGCAGTAATAATGAAACAAATCCTACTTGAACTCTAAATACTAGAAACTGATAGAAGGCTGAAAAAAGGAATGTTTAAGCATACTGCATTGTAGCTTTGTTTTTATTTTTATTTCATCTGTAATTTTCAAAGAAGCATAAAAACCCAAAAATGTCCTGCTAGCAATTTTTTACCCAATTAACTTCATTTTCAGTAAGATAAGGCTTTGTGGGTTTTGGACCTTAGCTTCTTCCTGTAATGCTTAGAATTCTTTTTCTTCATTTTCTTAATTAGGTTGTATTCAAAAGAAATTTAATCTTATTTTCTAGATTAGGTTGTTGTTTTTTTCCAGAAGAATTCAGCACAAGCTGAATTGTAAAAATGCACACTGCAGGTATCGAGAAACTGAATAAATTGCGTGCATAAATACAGGAACTTTATTATTCAGGTGGGCAGAAAGTATAAGGTTTAGTAGGTGTATTTATTGCCATTCCACGATGATGGGAAAGACAGATTAACACAGGTTGTGCCTGTTTAACTTTGCAGTCAGAGCTTTGCTAGATGTTTGTGTGGTGGCTGGAAGGGCCCAGGTTTTTGACAGGGTTTCTGGCTGCAGGTCTGCCTGCTCCCACCCAGCCAGCGAGGCTCTGCACGTCCTGAGAGGTTGTTGTTTTTTTCCAGAAGAATTCAGCACAAGCTGAATTGTAAAAATGCACACTGCAGGTATCGAGAAACTGAATAAATTGCGTGCATAAATACAGGAACTTTATTATTCAGGTGGGCAGAAAGTATAAGGTTTAGTAGGTGTATTTATTGCCATTCCACGATGATGGGAAAGACAGATTAACACAGGTTGTGCCTGTTTAACTTTGCAGTCAGAGCTTTGCTAGATGTTTGTGTGGTGGCTGGAAGGGCCCAGGTTTTTGACAGGGTTTCTGGCTGCAGGTCTGCCTGCTCCCACCCAGCCAGCGAGGCTCTGCACGTCCTGAGCAGCGCTCCCAGCAGAGGATGGGACCTTCGCGCTCCAGGTCCAGACAGGTCTGGCAAGTCTGCGCTCAAGGCAATCACTTCTTTGAAATGCAGTCATTCTCCAAAATATTTTCTTGAAAGAGACATTTAAGGCATGTGTTAAGAGAGAAGGATGAAACCCAAATAAGAACAAAAAAAAAATCTTAAAATTCCCTATTGTCTTGCATATCACAAGTTCAGCCTTGGGGTTCTACAAAATATTTAGTGTTTCTCTCTTACCGTACAGTACGGCCACGTGCATCTATTCTTCTACCAGGTTTTTTCAGTAGTTCAACAGAGAATGTATTATTTAGTCAGACTTTGCAGTCCTAAACACTGTTCAAAATGGATAAGAGACAAGAAAAAGACTGATAAAGTGCTTTTCTTATTTACCCTGGAATTTCACAATAAACACACATATATGTATTTACATATATTCTATGTATGTAATTATGGGAATGAGTTATACCAAAGAAGGCAAAGGGCAGCAAATCTGTAATTTAACAAGGTTGTGGGAGAAAAAATACAAACTATAGTGGCCAAATATTTTTGGAAGAGGAGAACATTGTGAGAAGAATGTGGAATTGTATGTATAGGCCTAGCATTTCCCGAGCACAACTACTGGAAGTGTAAATCCATGATGAGATGTTAGAATTTACCAGAACCCTTTCTGGGTTGCTCAGGATTAATTTCACAGATGGAGGGAAGGCAAAGGAGATAACCTAGCAACCCAGTTTCCTTCAGAATTTGTGTGTCTATATCCTTCTGAAGTTGCAGTCGGTGTTACTGATGCTTGGGTGATTGTGGGTTTGTAGAAACCAATAAAAGCTGAAATGAAAAAATATTCATGGATTCAGAAGGCGGTTCCAGGAATGTTCAGATTCAGGCTAGATGAAAGAACAGACAAAGGTCGAAGTGGTAGAAATACGATAGTTAAATGATAATCTAGGATCAGAAATTAATACCAGGTTTTTAAAATATGGTCTCTGTAGCATAATTGTCTCATCCTAAATGGAAACATGCTGCAAATTTTTTTTTTTAATGTAGTTGAATATATTCAGCCCATTTATCTGTCATTTGGTCATAGGTAATCCAAGGTCAGCCCGTTCAGTTTAAACACCTTGTCAGTGTGTTTCTGTTAACTGGCAAATATTTAACTTGAGGAGAAACAAACAGTAAATTCATCATTCATTTATCTAGCTTTGGAAACCAGGGCTGCCAGTGGCACCACCAACTGCTGAAAATACTTCCCAGCAGGGGCTGGCAGAGCACGAGGGACGTGGCCGTCACAGGGCTCTGGTGACACACAACTTGTATGGGGTTCACTTGTCACATCCATTTGTTGAAATACTCAGTCACTGACCCAAATTACGGGAAAGATTCTGAAAGGGCAAAAGAAGCTGAACTGTTATGTGGGCATGAAAAACACTGCCTGACCAGGGATTGATAAACGATCTTAAAAACACAAAAGATTAATAATTTGTTTTCCATTCCATCAATAAATGGATGAAGAATTGACTGATTTGAGAACTCAAAGCCAATTTGAGAAAGGACTGTAAAGTTTTTCAGGACAAGCTAGAATCAGTGTCCTCACTGAAGTTTACCTCAAACTTGGTGAAATATTGAATCAAGACATTGTGAAATCTTTGTGGGGAAAAAAGAGAGCTTATTTTGACAGCAATAAGTAACAGATGGAAAGGATGCTTTGTGAAGAGGCAGACATTCACAGGAAGACAAGGTGAATGGAGCTTCAAGGCAGGAATATGTCTAATTAAAACCAGTAAATCACTTCCTCTTTATCAACAGGGAGAAAAAGAGAAAGGAGGCCAGGTGGAATGACTTTACTGATGATCCTGCTGCCACTGGGAGAAAGCCAAGTTGCAGTTACAAAGCATTACATTTACTATTAGCTACTAGATGATAAATTTGTACTGATTTCCCCTAAAGAGAAAGTAAGCTAAAGAGAGCTAAGGTGTGCTTATAAGATACAGATGTTGATTCAATACACGGGATAAAAGGGTTCTCCTCTAGTGAGGAGAGATTAGCTGGACAGTGTCCCTGAAGGTTGTACATTTAGCATGTGAACACTAAAAAAATGGAGACACAATAACAACAGAAGATAAATTGGAAACAGCTGAAGTAGAAATGAGATCATACAGGACCTTTCAAGGATATTCTTTTTTTTTTTTTCCTTTTAATGACCTTAGTGGACTTTCTTGAAAAACAATAGTTTGTCATAAGCTTTTAGTTAAGATTGTGTTTAAAGTGACTTTAGAAATACTGAAGAGATAAAACCCCATTTGTTTTAAAGTTTGGCTTAAGTAAGCAGTGGATAATTCTTCCTGTACTGGTGCTTTCCAAACAGGTGTTCTCTCACTTTCCTTTGAAGCTCCTGGTGTTGGCCACTGACAAGGATCCTGTCCAATAACTGCCCATTCAAGACAATGATCCTGTTTTAAAACAGCTTTCTACCAGCATCATATGCCGCATGCTTAGATTTATCCCACTGAAACCAGAGTAAATTCATAAAAGTCAATGGAATTAATCTTGATTGGACAGAGACATCAGAATCTGGCTTAGGATTTGGATGTTACAACATTTATTAAACAGCAGGTAGATTCATGGTGGATGAAAACTGCAGGTCTTACACAGCCAGGCACTGGGCTTCCAAACAAACTTCCCAATGCCCTTACTGGTGCAATCGATGGCCCACTGCAGAGAGCTGAACTCTTACATCCACCCAAAGAAATTACCAAAGATCTACAAAGTGTAGGAGTGACCCAGGAAAGGTAGATGCAGCTTGAAGACTCAGATCAATGCTGCTGTGGGTGCTGGGATTCAAGGTTTGGGCTTGTGCCCGTTTTGTAAATTAGCCCCATGCAGAATGAGTGAAGATGAAAATACACGAAGCACAGATGGGTGATCAGTGGCTATTCTTCTACCTGCCTCCTCCTCTATGCTCAGCTTCCCTCCAAGAGCGAGCTGTAAATGTCTGTTAGTCCTTCACAGAGAGGAGGAGGCATTTTTTCGGCTTCTTGCACGCCAGGCATGAGTATGCTTTCCTGTCCACTGGATGGAATATTATGGAAGAAAAAGGAGTTTATCTGGTGTAAATTAATCGCTTTTAATTCAGTGTGTTGCAAGTAACTTCACATACACTTGTTACAAAAAAAAAACTACCTGAAAAGCAGCGAGTCAGTCCTAACAAAGCAACGCTGATAGACTCTTTAACAATTTGACCTGCAAAATGGAGTATTGTATTGGAAACTCAGGCTAGCCATGGGAAAACCAAAATCTCCAACAAAGGAGCAGATGCACAGCTAGTTTAGCAAATGTATTGGTTTAGCTTTGAAATCAAAATTAGCAGCAAAAGGAAAAGGTACTTTACTCAAGAGAATTCAATTTATCCATTGTTTTAACATTTTGTGCCCTGAGCGAAAGCCACAGTTCTTTTTCTTCAGCACAGATCTGGCAGATTCCAGCCGTAGAGTCTGTGGTTTTCAAATTCAAGAAGCTGTAAATTTTATAACTCTGCGCCCTGCGGTCAGAGCTGCTGAGTGTTGTGTCTGAAGTCAGGTGGTTGGTGTGTTAAAGGTAGACATTAAACAGTTCTATTGAGGAACTGGAAATGTTTAAGGAGGTTGTTTGCCAGCTGTAAATTTGGGAGCAAATGCCAGTTGGCTGAAAAGATGCTGGAACGCATCCAGTTAAGTAGACTAGCGCTGGAGGTCTTTCCAAATTTGTAGGTCTGATAACTTGGCTGTATATGCAGACTTCAGTTATTGGGCTGTTAAGGAAGGGCTTTATAATGAATGTTTGAAAATACGATAGAAAGCTTTTTATATGTTCATTACTTTGGCAAAATTGCAACTTTGCAGTAGTATTGCATTCCTGATGAAAACGTGGTTGAACATTATACATGGTATATACTATTTTTCAGCTGAGTGCCAAGAACTATGGGTTTGTGCCCTACAATATTTTGTCCCGAGTGCTTTTCCAGAGTTTGGTTTTGCCCTTTTCCTACGTAGCTTTCCTCTGGGAGGAAAGAGACCCTGATGCAGCTCTTGTAGCCTGCTGGGTGGAAGGGGCTGTAGCTCTGGCTGCCGGCCAGGGTGCAGAGAGACACTTCCCTTCTTCTCCCCGTTGGACTGTCCGCTCTCCAAGGCGCGAGAAGGGGCTGCAGCCCGAGGTGTCGGTGTGTGCGTGGCCCCGCGGGGCTGGGGCGAGGGATTTACCCCCGGGCACTCGCTCAGCCGGAGGGTGAGAGTCTCTTACATCACTGGGGGTTGTTCTCTGGAGTGATAGATACCAACAGGTCTTGTTCGAACTCGTCCCAGATCATTTCCTCTTCATTCCCTTCGCTCTGTTGGAGCAGCAGGAGAATAGTGCTCTAACAGGAGTCAAACTGGTTCCCACTTTTATCTCCTCTTTGTTCTCTGAATTCTGCTGTTCAGGATGCACGCGTCCTGTTTCTGGCCTCTACTATCACAGAGTAAAGAGCACTTTCAGAAGACACATGTTCAGTCTAATACTTCAAGGTATTTTCATTAGAAGAGTTTTAAGCTTTACCGTTTTTTTGGCCACTGACATAGCACAGTTTTATGACAGTTGTCAAAATGCAATGAGACAAGGGCTAACCCTTACACAAGGTCTTGAGGTACGGACAAAACCTCCTCCTCTGTTGACACATGACTTGCTAAAAGGCCAGATAGAATTTCAGCTGCTGCACTTGAAGGAACACAGAGCACCCACTGAAACGGGAGAAAGTGCATCCTCACAGGACCATGGAAGAGGAAATCTGACTTTGACTGTTCATACATTAGCCAGATCTTTTCTAACACAAGAAGAAAATAAAGCTGCTCTGAAATTGTTTCTGGCTGCCTAAGACACTGAGATCTGTGCTAATACCTTGGACTCGTAGGACCTTCCAATGAGTAAAAGCAAATCAAAGCATTTTGAGGGCTGGTCTGTAAGAAGAACCAGGAAAGGAATTGTTTCAGTTAAATAGTTTTCCAGGGCTCCATTCTTACTAGGGTTAACACACCCTATTTTTTTCTGAAGCACATGTTCTGAAACTCTACATGTTAGATGTTTGTCTTTATTTGTCCTTAAGAGAAGGACAGTAGAGTGAAAACATGTTATTGCAACCTGTTTTTTCTAACAACTCTAATGCTGGTGGACTTGAGGTTCAAGATTGAAAGTGCCTGTGGAACAGCTGTTTTAACAGAGTTGGGACTTTTTGCTCTCAGAAACTGGACAGCTTTCTAAAACCAAAAATTTATGTAGAAGAGAAATTTTCCTTCATTCAGTAAAAATAGAGAGGTCAGTAACCACTCTCTGATCTGTTACCTCCATAATCTCTTGGGTATTCCAAGGTGCTCACGAATGCATCTCACCTTGGATGGGTGAGATGAAAAATTTCACATTAAATACTTTAATTTTCCTGTGGTTGGAGGATCTTCTAATCTGAACCTTCCAACAAGAAAGCACTTACTCTCCAATTCATTTGGAAGTATTCTACCTTTTACAGTCCTAATTGCTCTATTCTCAGTTTGGATTAAGGTTCACTGACTGAAATAAAATCTTTGGCTACTGAGGATATAAAATACAGCATCCGTTTATCTTTCTCCTAGAAAAGTAAACATTATGCAGTCCAGCTCCTTCATGTGTTCAACATTATTGAGCTGCAGGTCATGTAAATTTTGTCTGAATTTTCACTGTCATGTGTAGTTTCTGTTTTCCAATAGGTACATTTTCAGAATACTTTAAAACCCTTGGCTACATTTCAAAATATTATTATATTTCTAGCTCTTAAATGACATAAATGCACATTTGTTGGTATTTCATGAAATCAGTTTATACAGAGATCAGTTCTGCCTACACGGATTGCTCAAGCACTCAGGTTAGATATCATGGGAACTTAACTAGTATTTTATTAGTATTTTGAATGGTAGTCATTAGCATAGACTCAAACTGCAGTTGAAATGCTAATGCTTATCAGAAAGCATATTTAGGAACTGAGATTAACTGCACCTGCTCTTTATATTCCCATGACCAGATCCATACTGGAGAAGATTTAAAACTTTAAGTAGAGCTCTGTAACTGTAAACTCTTGCACTTTTTCTATTAAGTTTGAATATAAAGGCACTTTGCTGCCAAAAATAGTTTCTAAAATAAATGTTGTTAAATAGACATTTCGCCCCAAATTTAGGTATGTGTCAGATGTTCATGCATCTTGCATTGATTATAACTCAGACTTGAAATAAATGTAGTGAATTTTAGGAAGTTGCCTATATGAAAACTGCAATATAATTCACCACTAAAATAGTACAACCCCTGAGAGCTGGGCTCCCAAAGTTAAATGCAAAGATTGTTATTATATTCAGTAATCACACCGTGCATAAATTTTCTAACACATTATGCTAAAATCATGAATAAAAGATTTTCCAGTCCTTCTTCCCTCACAGACACTCAGGGATGGGCCCTTTGCTGGGGCTAACACCGCACTGCCCAAAGTCTCTGCAGGTTTCATACCTACTTGAAGGCATTTCTGCCTCACCAGGACTGTGATCTAAAGGAGCGTTACGCTGAACCGTGCATTTCTGCACTCGTCTGTTACACGCCCTGCAGGTGTTAGTCCAAGGGAACATTTTGCTGTTTAGGAATTATTTTGATGGTATTTAGTTTATCTAAAAATTAGGTCTCCTGGAAGTTCTTTCACAAAAAGTTGTGTAGAAATATATTGTGTGTATCATGTTTAGTTCATCTTCCTTCAGAATGACAGAATAATTTTATTTTTTTTACCCCCTCCCCCCCTTTTTTTTTTTGTCTTAAACAAACCCCAAATACCCCTCCATAGATCCTATTACAAGGCAAAAATCCTGGGATTGCTTGGGAATATACGTTTTCCAAAACCAACAATGAAAACAAGACATCAGTCAAAAAGCACAGCTACTCCTGGGTGACGGTGCAGTCAGAGTGCTCAGCTACCTGTGGTGGTGGTAGGTAACTTTCCAATTGCCGATCCTTTTCTTTTTCACTTTTTTTTAAAGCATATCAAACAGTTCAGCTGCCTTTAATTTTGCAAATGTGTATCCATACATACAGGGGGTTACACCTGGTCCTTATTTTTTTATCTGACAACTTTATAACATAGATGAAGTACCTTCTACTTCCTTTATAGTAAAAAGAAATATCATGCCAGTCTCAATTTATGTCACTTGTGGTGACTCAGTCTTTTTTCTGTAGGTCAATCCAATGCACGTAACACCCTACTGTTGAAGTAATGTGGGAATTAAGTACGTGCTTTGATGTTGTTGTAATTTGGGAACATAGAAAGATATCAAATAACAAGTAAAATTTATCTTACCTGTACAGAATAATTGAAGACCAAAATATTGTTAAGACCTTTACTGACAGTTGCACCCTGATCTTCTCCCTGTTTAATTACAAATATTTGAGTTCTGCCAGGTCAGAGTCTGAAATTTTATATAAGCTGAGGATTTCTTATTACCATATTCCTCTAGGTATTTGCTTTGTGCAGACCATCTATTTGTTTTTCTAAATCCTGGATGTTCTGTCAGTGAAAATAATTCTGGGCTGTGATGAAAGCAGAAAACTGGCATGACAGAAGTCCTGCAAAAAGAATTGAGAATTAAAATTTTAGTAGCCTTTAAATTGGAACTGGGTCATATAAATAAGACTATATAGTGCAGTTGTCTTTAATACCAAAGAACAGAACTGGGTGCCCAAGGAAATGCCATGTTATGCTCCTGTACTGGTAAAAAAAAGTCCAGGTGAAATTCAGGAATATCTTGTTAGTGTGTTGTCAGGCTTCACGGCCTTGCAGCAAAGTGTTTATGGAAGAATGCCCCACCAGGAGCACTGCAGACATAAAATATGACAACTGTATTTTTCTTGCTTCCCTTTACAACAACGGGAGGTTGCAGCACGGATATAAAGATGATGGAAACAACTGTGTTTCCAAATCTGACTTGCTGTGCCCAATGAACCGTGTGTGAGGTGAATGATACGTCTCCATTAAAAGCTGAAGCCATAAAATCACCTCATCTCTGAGGGCATCTGTAGTCTCCTCTGTAATCTGTCCTGACGCTGACACTGGGCAGAGTTGAGGTCCAGGAATCTGCAGAATTCTGAAGTCTGTAAGGATGGACTGTAAAAAGTTGCAAAATGTTTTGTTGCAGTTTTCAAGCACAAGGAGAGCTCTCAGCAAGCGCTGCTACTTCCTGCAGGGAATCAGGATTTGAAGAATTACTGATTTTCGCTGGAGGAAGATTCTGCAAATATGCTGTTTATAACTAAAATGTTTCATCTGACTTCAACAGTACCTGTGTTACAGAGAAGGAAATTAATGTTAAAAACATGTTGCCAAATTAAATCCTATTTTATTTAGTTGAAGTCAGTGGAATTGTACCAAGGATGAGCTTGGACTTGTTTAGTTAATACTCTTCCCTACTACTTTTTCTCTTATATTTTGAGTGAATGTTATATTTTGAGTAAACATTTATTTTACTGTATTTTTTTTCTAATACTTCCACAGGACACATTACAGCAAAAGCAATTTGTTTAGAAGATCATCGTACACGAGTGAATTCCTCCCTTTGTGGCCCAAGGATGAAGCCTTTAACTGAAACCAAACTCTGCAATACTAATCCCTGCCCAGCATAGTAAGTTCTCTTTATTTTTGTACCTTTTCGCTGTGCCTCATGACTGAGTTTGCCACGAAAGAAGTCCTCTCCAACAGAGCTGTATACTCTGCTAGATGAACCCACTTTTATTCTGTAACATAAACCAGTAATTGTTTAAAAATGTAAGTTGTGTAGGCTTCTGCCCAATGATAATAACGGAGGCGGTATTTCTAAGGTTGCTAAGCGAGGCCTCCTGAGGTCTGTGTGCGGCTCTGTCACCGTGCTGGGGTTAGCTATGTGACACCGAGTAAATCTCAGTTACTTAGGGGCCTGTGCCGCCACCTTTTCTCACCTTGAATCAATAAGACCATTTCCTGAGTAAAGTGCTACTCCCCGTGTGGAAGCTTGGCCCCGTGACTCAGATTCCACATATTAGATTAGGTTAAAAGAATCTTGTGAAGTGTAATTAGTGATTTTTGGACAAAACGTCCCACAGGGTATTATATATATATATATTTACTGAGAAGAGGACTATCTAAACCAAATAAATCGTCGGCAATGCTCCTGGTGCCCACAAAAGCAAATATGAAGACATTGCCTCTGTGAACAATCTTATTTTCTAAAAGACATAAGAAAGGTGAGATGCAAAGGAAGACAGTGACATATAGATAAGCATTTAGAATCCAGCTGGTCTAAATCAATAGAACTCCTTTAAAAACAAGGGAGTTACACTGATTTATAGTAGCTGTGGTAGGGGTCCCTTGGTAAAAAAAGTTGTGTGCTCATATAATTAAACACAGTATTCTGTGCCTTAGAAATAAATGGGTAGATTTAAGGACACTTTGGCCATCTTTCTTCTGCGGATGTTTTCACTTTTGGATTCCCGAGTCCGCAACCTTAGCATTGCTTTAATTTTATACCAAAGATCAGAAAAGCTGTATTATGTTGGACAAGACATTTTGACTGCCAGAACACAAGATTTTCTAAAGCAATATGTTGAAAAAATTGTGTGCTTCTGTGAGAAATAGAGACAGTTGAAGATACATTGAAGAACAGAGGCAGGAGAAGGCAGAGGAAATGCAGGAAAGCTCTAGACCCGGCGTCATCTGCCGGTTTTACTCTGTGGTGATAAAAGCAATGGGTGGTAAAAGCAACTGGCTAAGCCCGTTCCCATACTTCATGAAATACCACATTTAATGGAGTTTAATAGGAAGCATTCCCCATCTCCTCCAGTCCAGAAGAGGATGGTGGGGCAAAGCAAAAAGATGTGTATGTTCTGCAGTGGCTTTGTTTTTACATAAAATCCATAGTTTGCAATATGTTGAACATACTGAAAAATAGTCCAGTAATAGTTTGGAATTTCCTGCAAAATTTGAAGATTACAGCAGAGTACACAAAATCCAAATGGCAAATTATACACTATGACCACAAAACGATAGAGATAAGGTTTAACTAATGGTAACATGTGACATGAGAGCCCCATGTCCCTGCTTCAGCAGTTTCTTTAGATCGCATTTAGCCACATGATTTTCTCAATACCAATTTTAAGTAATCTTTGTAGCCAAATACAATCTTCTCATTTGCGACTTATCTTCTGCCAGAACTATCTTTATCCAATGAACTCGGTATCGTGTACACAGAAATGTCCTGTCTGTGATGTTCCCAGGAGTCTGTTTAAGCTGTTTATGCTTACCTGGTGTTGATGTGGCACTGTTAGGATAGAAAGCTTCACCAAATTCATACTCGATTCTATTGGCCACACACAAGATTTCCATTTCTATTAAACAGAGATCCCCATGAATGGTGAACACTCAGTGATGTACCAGTCACTGAAAATGCTGATTATCCATTTTGACATGCAGTGCAATGCTTTCATGCTGAAATTGCTCTGATAGTCTTAGATTTACTATTTTAAAGCACAATTAATGACTTGAATGCTATAAAGAGTACAAAAGGAAAAACCATTAAGCCCCAAGCCACCTTTAGGGGAAAACAATTCAAGTAAAGAATTAATTATTTTTAAAATCCTTAGGATATATTAATGTATGGAGGATCTACGTGTAAGACCATGTCTTAAATTAACAGATTACCATTTGGCTGAGTGAAACTATGCCAGAATATCTCTGCCGAGCAATCTGCCCAGAAAGTCATGGCATGTAGTGTTTCCCCTAAATCCCAGACTGCCAACATCACAAAATGTAGCATTAATAAATTCCACAGAGGAAACAAAGAATGCTTAATAGGCAGCAAATAAAGCAAACACAAATATAGTCGGCACAATAGGCAAGGGAAGGAGGTGAATAACAGATGAGATACAAGCGTGTCAGTTTGTGACATAAAAGAGGCTCCAGACTTATAAAGGTCAGCGAGGAATAATTGCTGCATAAGAACAAAGACTTATTAGTCTGAGTAGGAACAAACTACTGTCCCAACGGTAAGAACACAGAAAGGCATCGTTACTGCACACTGTTGCTGGATTTCAGAGCTGCCAAATCTGCTCATAATTATTTAGTTATTTGAGCTAATGAAAGATACTCTTGGATTGCAGCCCAGATAATCTTGGAAAATGGCAGTTTACTAGACGACATTAAAGTAGGTTTATTGCCCTCTCATTTGTTAAGAGAGGAACTTTCTGGGCAGCTATGGTGAACAAACTTTTAAAACGCACACTTTTGGTTATTCTACCAATCACTGATGTCAGAAACATCAAGGTGAACTAATTAAAAGTTGTAAAAGGGATTAAAACTATAACTTTTTTCCCAGAAGTCTGCATTGCAATAGTCCAAATATTTATAAATCAGACAAAAAGGAAACTTCTGACATGTTCTGCAATTACATAACTACTGACTTTTCACATTAATATTTCTTTGTCCTGAAATTAGCGCTTTTTATATTTCCCACTACTTTTGGCAGTTACTGAAGTTACTAGACGGAGAGTTGGGATTTCTTCTACTCCCAAAGGAATTTTTCCAAAATACGCTTTTAATCTATTTTTTAAAAATTAAAATTAGCTTTGTTTTCAGGCAGATGTGAACAGAGGGGCAAATGGGATGCTGTTCATCTTTCACACAGTAAGAAAAAAAACAGTTTCCTTGTCACTACAGCTGTATGTGTATGTGAGCTGCTGCTCCAGCGGTCACGGGGCTGTGAGAAACCATGGGAAGCAGGACAGGCCAAGCAGTTGGATTTGAGACAAGACCCTTTTCTGTGGCATAAATTCTTAAAAATTTGTAAAACTGCCGTTTTAAAATATGTTTAAATTCAGTGTTGGGTCTTTGAATAAGAGTTCTCAACGAGCAATCATTTAGTCATTCATAATTTCCTTTGTTTCTTCATTTCTGTTTTCCTATCTTTTGTTATTTATGGTCTTTTGTTGCAAGGCTTCGAGGACAAAGACACTTGGTTGTACTTGTGAAGTGTCCCACAAAGGCTGGGGTCCCACTCAGGGCCTCAGTCATAGGAATATTGAGCAGCTACCGACATTGCCAAACTGAACTTAATCCTAAGAATTGGCAATAAGTTTTCAGACTTTGTGTAACTTTGGTGACATGATGCGTAAGTGAAGCGTGTCTGGGACAGTATAGATTTGCCCAACAGCTTTTGCTGGTTAAATTTCCTGTTTTATTTAGATTCTACAGCATCTGTCTGCCAAATTTATTAGTCTGGGGACATTTAAATCTTCCAGACACTAATGACAGGGCTGCTGATTTTAGCAAGCGAGTTCTTTTTGTGAACAGAGGCCAGTGAGGTTTGACATAAATACCAGTGGACAGCCCCACGCCAGCACTTGTCGCCCCGTGTGAGTGTATCGACGCACAAATGCACTGGGAGGTACACGCTCGGCTCAACCGGCCCCTGTTCTTCCCCCACCACAGCAGCTTCTCCCTCCTGCCAGCTGAGGTGAATCCTCCTCCCCTGCCCCATCTTCTGAGAGAGGTGTAAAAAGGAAAAAATGTACCAGATCTTGGCAGAACTTTCCAATAATCAAATCTTACAAATTTACAGAACTCTCCATCTAACTTTGGCCTCGGGTCTGTTAGTCTGTTTGGAGGTCTCTTCAGCAGCTAAAGTGACAGAAGTGATCATCCCACCATTTCTTTAGAAACCAGTATTCTTTTCCTGGTTTAGAGAGGTTTTTTTCAATGAAAAATGTAGGCATGGTTAAAAAGGAATGGTGATTTGTTAGCCAGACCCTTAGATCGTCCACATACTCCACCAGCCTCAATGGCAGCATCTCTCTGAGTCCCTGTGGAATTCCAGATTCATAGGCAAGCTGGTTCTGGCAGATGAAAACTGTAAATAAGTAATACTAGTTTTTCTAGTTGTGTGACTTAGATTTCATTCTTTGCTTTGTGCTTTGAAGATAGATCTGTAACTAAGGCTTTTTGATTGCCTGGGCAGATACCAGAACATCGGGAGATCAGGCCAAGCAGAATTCCTGAATAACCCCCATTTGATAGGTGGCTCCTATGTATTGATTTTGTAAAGCTAATTGGACTCCTGTGTTTCTAACACACATTTTCTTTCACCTTTAAGCTGGTCAGCAGGCGAATGGAGCGCGTGCAGCAAATCCTGTGGAGGAGGGCAACAGAGCCGTGTCATTCAGTGTGTGCAGAAGAGGGCTTTCCAAAGGGAGGAGGTCGTGGCCCACGCGCTGTGTCCTGTCAGCACCCCGACACAGCTGCAGATGTGCAATAGTCAGGACTGCCCGCCCCAGTGGAGCCCCGGCCTATGGTCTCAGGTAATCTGGAGATAAACTTACATTTTTTGTCTGCTGGCATAATGAAAATATTGCCCAAATTCTGCTCTAAGAGAATAGTGCACTTTGTGAACATCAGTATTTTGCAAGTGACTCAGTTCATGAAGATAGTATGTAAACTGTGTATATATTTTAACTAGACTTCACAAGTGCTCGGACAGGGCTTGCTGGAAGGGGACACGTGGTGTCATTTTTGGTACATACAAACAGATGGATAATTTATTTCTGGTCTCGTAACTTAAGGCTCTATCAATTCTTCAAAGCCATTAACCTCCCTCTGAGGTTACTTCCCAGCAATATGAGCTTTTCTCAGAGATGACAGGCAGTCAAGGAATGAAGAAATATTTGGGGTTAGAGTTGCATATTGATGCACACACATATGTGAATTGTGGGTTGATAAATTTGTGATTTACACGTTCACTAATCCCTTCTGTGCTTTTTGCCTTTGCTGGAATAACTATTCTACTGCAAACAGAGCACTGCTGCAGTTAATTGCCATGAGGGGCATGAGGCCCCCGGGCAGATTCCTGTGTGTACACACCCTGCTTCCCAAACCTGCAGCTCCCTGATGTTAAACCAGCCTGGGCTAAAAAACACACATGGGCTGACACCAACCACATCTCTGCTCTCTCTTTCACTGCTGTGGATGCTGGGACAGACTGGTAATCTAAGGATAAATGAAGTACAGGGAAATACGGGATTTAAGAGCGAGCTGACAGTACACTTACATCAAAAGGAGCTATGTTATTTTTACTTTTCCATCCTCATTTAGTGAGATTCATGTCAGATTCAAATTTACTGAAAAATCTATTAGATCTGTGTATACTTCCTGGTATTGTTACTCTTTAGGAGTTACTCAGGAACATCGTGACCTAAGCATTCCCCACTGAGAAGCACAGATTGCCTCTCCAGGGGAGTGCCCTGTAATGTACCATGACCAATGAGTAACTACTCAGTAGTCCATCGGAACAGAGTTTTAACACTCAGACACTTTTCTTCTACTGTATGTGAAGGAAACATTAGTGTGGTAGGAGATGATAAAGATCAGGTATGATGGTTAGATACTTAAAAAGGAAGAGCAAAGTCTTTAAACAGTCACACTTTCAAACTTTCCTTCCTCTAAATTAAAAAAAAAAGAACATTAAAAAATCCATTTTCCTCCTGTTCAGGATGTGCACAGTTCAAGTTGGAATTTTCAAATAAGCCTATGAAAATTAAGTCAGCAAGTCCTGCTGAAATGGACTGACCAGGCCTATTGAACAAGTTAGTGAAGATTTTAAGATTCAGCTGAAAGCTGTTCTATCACAGGCTCAAGGGAGTTAAGAGGGAAAAAAATGCAAAATACCCAGCCTCTCTACACAAATCAGAGTAATTTTAAATGAAAGGAGTTTTTTGTTTGTTTAGGGGAAAGATTAAAACCATTTTCAGCATGAGATATTTCTGTTGCATCCTGAGTACAACTCTGCCTTCATGGAATCTTTTGAAAACATTTGTTTGATTTAATACAGGCAGTGATAGTGCAGGATTCTGCCTTGGAATGTGCCCTTTAATTATTAGCAAAAAGAAGAACAGTTCAAAGAGGATGTAAGAAGGTAGAAAGCTGGCAGCATTATTTTGGGGCTATTTATTTCTTCATTTCATCAGAAATGGCTCATTCCTGCAGTTTGTTTTATGCTACGGCAAGGAAAACTGTAGATGCCTTTTCAACTGAACCACAGTTCAGAAATGTGTATTTATTCACTGGTGACTTGTCGTAAGCTTCAGTTGTAATCTTGGCAATTGAAGTATCTTCAAACCATTGTCTGCATCAGACTCTTGTAGTGAGATGCGTTTGGTTATGCAGAGATTCCCTGGGTAGTTTTCTCTGCCTCTATCTCATCCCTCTAGGCCAAGGTGAGGACAAAATAACAAATAGCTGAGAACATCTTGCCGTGGGAGATGTTGCGATGGGAGGTTTAGGACCAGCTTTCAACTCTGCTGTCCGGGGAAAAAAGCTCCCAACTCCGACTTACCTCATCTACGGAAGAGAGATATTACTTATCTGTTCTACATGGGGGCTGCAAGAGTTCATAGTTTACATTAAGAAAACACTTAGAACAATGTTTTAGAAGTGACATACAGATGTTAGTGTTACTTAATTACCAATAGAATTTCTTATACACTTATATAGTAATGGCAGCTACACAGCACATTAGCCATGGTTTTTATGCTCTGCTGTAAAATACAAATAATGCCAATTTTCATTTCCTCTGGTTCAAATGAGCATTTCTTTCCATCGCAGTGCTCCAAGACTTGTGGGAGAGGTGTTAAGAAACGGGATGTCTACTGCAAAAGTACTGGTTCTCCCAAGGTTAAAATCTTGCCTGAAAGTATGTGCAGCAGAGACCACAAACCTGAGTCCCAGCAGACCTGCGTGCTCGGCCGCTGCCCCAAGAACGACCGACTCCAGTGGGTGATTTCTTCCTGGAGCGAGGTAAAGCAGTGCCGTTACAGGACTCCCTGCCCACCTTTGGGTTGGAAACGTTGACTCGGGGACACACACAAACCCTGTGGGGGAAAGAAAGCTGAGCTGTCACTTGAAGATCAGGTGTTGTAGGCAAACCACTATAAAAGCAGAGTTCTTTATATCCAGATGTAGTTAGATGCACCCCGATGTCTTTCTTTTTCATGACTTTCACTGATTCAAATTTCAGTTTACACATTATGGAACATGGTCTTTGTGGGGTTAGGTTTATAACGCTTTTGTAGTTTCACATAATTTGGGGTCTCTTGCACAAAGCATATTCTCCTTTATCTGAATATGTTTCTATAGATTTAATAGGCATGCTCTGCCTTTGCAGTGTTCAACATCCTGTGGCCCAGGTGTGCAAAAGCGAGAACTGAAATGCGGTGAGAAAAGCACCCACGGCAAGTTGATCACCTTTCCTCAGAGGAGATGTAGAAACATCAAGAAACCAAACATCGACCTGGAAGAAGCCTGTAACAAGGGAGCCTGTCCATCCCAAACGCTGTATAACATGGTGTCTGGCTGGTACTCCTCACCCTGGCAGCAGGTAGGAATGGGAAACTCTCACCTCCCAAGATTAAAAGATTAAGCTACCGAGATTAAAGCTAAATCCAGTTTTACATCGTGCTGTAGTCGATGGTCCGATGGTATGGAGGAGGTATCACCAGTGCTAACAGTCCACAGGTGTCTCCTGCACATAGCCATTTCCTAAAGAAGGTCACACCACTCAGCCACTGAAACATGATGCAGCTGGTCCACATCCATCATGTACTTTGGTGCAGCTCATTTCTTTGTCCTGAAACTGAAGAATGTCACCTAAAAATGTTATTCATGCTCGAGAGGCACCACATTCCATGCTCATTTTCCAGCACTTTCTCCGAACTGCACTGTGGTTGAACTATTACATATCTACGTGCACAATGTATTTGAGCATCTGCACAGATTGCCTGGAATTCCCTAAATACTATGATTAATTACGGGATCAGTCTGTATTTGTTTCTACATTCTTGCAAACAAGCTTCTGTATTTCTGGAACTTATCTGCTTTATGAGTCACATATCAATGAGACACACACTCATTTAATAACATTTACATGAAACAATGTATGTCTGACAATTGTAATCAGATGAAAATGATCACATTTATCTTAAAGACAACTTTTCATGAAACACATACAAGTAAGGCTTATTCATTTTAAAATACTTCATAGATCTTCCTGCAAACACATAGTGTTTTTCCCCAGATACCGCCATAATTGTGGTTCCAGAGGGAGTTTTATCTCTGTTCAGAAAGCAGGATTGGGCCCAGAGGCCCAGAGTTCAAAAGAAATCAGTGCAGACAATCAGGAACAGGTTTTCTAAAATGTTCAGTTTCTGTCTCCATGCCTAAGTAAGGAACCAAATTTTCAGCTGAGTCCTTAAATAACCAAACTTTTGGGAGGGAGAACAGATGCACACGTCTTTGAAAAGCTGGTCCTGATGGGGATTGCTGAATAGCAACGCATCCGATCCTGACCTCTCTCTCTTTGAAAGTCTCATCCAAAGCCCCTGAAAGTTCCTCCTTTGGCTTTCACAGGCTCCCAGAGAGTCTCTATAATGAAATAAGGCTTTTACTTTCTTCCTCTCCACAGTGCACAGTAACGTGTGGAGGGGGAGTGCAGACCCGGAGCGTACAGTGCCTGCGCCAAGGGAGACCAGCTTCTGGGTGCTTGCCCCATCAGAAACCAGCAGTCCTGAGAGCCTGCAACACGAACTTCTGCCCAGTCCCTGTGAAACGAGGTAAAACACAGCTCTACGTGCTGCAGAAGTGCTGGCTGCTTAGAACTCTAGATCCCTCAAAAATCACCTTTTCCACTCACACCCACTGAAGATTAGTATTTGGCATGTTCCCTCATGAATGATTTTTTTCCCAGGCTTTCCAACTTCACAGTTATTTTCTGATACTACAGCATCTCTCTTCTCAAAGTGAACCCTCTTACAGCAGATTTGAGAGTGTAACTGACACAGGAGATTTAAAAAAAGGGATATGTTAAAAAAAAGTATGTCAGTAAGTTATGCCATTTGGTTCTGAGCTGTATCTTTATACTGCCTTGTTGAATAGCATAGAAGCACCCTATCCTGGTAGTTTTATGATTAAAATTAGCAACTTTTGAACTAACCAATAAGAATTTGCCATTTATTTTTAGTCTTTTGAAGTCTGCCCAAGCTTCAGATTGCACCCATATCCTGGGAGTCCAAAAATGCTTTGTCTAGAATTTACTTCTCCTCTTCCTGATTCTGATCAGTGTATGACATGCAGTCAGGGAACACGATGTAAGCTCTGTCCCCAGTTGTATGTTTTGCAGTCCTAGAGGAGCAGGAGGAGCAAGAGATTTTGTGTTGCTGTGAATGATGGAAGGGAAGTTCTCAGAACCACCACAGAGAGCGAGCGGTGCTTTAGCCCCATCCCATGTATTTGCTTACAAGCTGGTTACACTTTGTGACTCCTTAACTGCGGGGAAAAAAGCTCATGGAGGTCCAGGTTTGTCCCATATAGCACAGTTATCTAGGTATGCTAAAGCACTTTAAACATTAACTTTCAAAATACCTTACATTAACTGTCTTGTTACCATTTTAAAACCGGGAGCTGAAAGTAACCTCTATAAAACCCAGGGGGAATTGGAAGAGAAAGGTGGTAATGGAGCTGGGAGCAAAGGTCAAGCTCCTGCATCTTGTGAACTGACATTAGCCAAGCCCCCCCCAGCTCCACCACCCAAACCCTGTAAATCCCAGTGCTATCTTAACAGGCCGCTCTGCTGCAGGGTATCCTACTGGTGTATCAAGGGGATGTACCAATCTGATACTGAATCCAAACAAGGATACATAGATGAAACGATCCTAAAAGGGATACATAAATAGTTCTTTAAAATAGTTCTTTTAAACATAAATGTTCTTAACACTACAAATTAACCTTCCCAAAAAGTTCTGCTGTACTTTGGGGTTTCTGTATTACATCCTTTTCTGTCATGATACAGCAAGCACTTTTCTTTCACCCCTGCCTTCCTCCACTGTATTTCATGTCTGGAGTAATGTCTGCTATTAATTTTGGCCTTGGCCTGTTTCTCTCTCTCCTCACATCTGCAGGAGCCCTTTCCCCTTTATTATAACTGGGTCGTCAGGCTCTAGAGATCAATTATCTCCTCACTGCTCTCTCACTTTCTGTCTAAACCAGCAAAAAGAGAGGGGACCAGCTGTGCTGGAATTACATTGAGGCAAATCAGTCTCTATTATCAGCCACGCAGCTCCGGCTCAGTGATCACAGGCAAGAAATTAATGTTTCAGGGAGAGTTTACACACTTTTCTCAACAAACTGGGTCATTTTGATCCTCTGTTAGATGCAGTTACGGTCACCCTAACTCCTAGTAAATCCAGTTGCTTAAAATGAAAGAAAATTTAAACAACATAGAACTGAATAAATAGCAATAAGGAACTGACAGCCTGATCCACATCCACTGAAGTTTGTGGGACTCTTTGTGTTCATTCCAATGGTCTTTGGATTAGGTCCCAAGAGTACAGTTTTTGGCCATACCTCTGTAATGTCAGCATTGCACTCTGAGCTTCAAAAGGAGCATAAAGATTTATTAACATTGCCTCCCAGTGCTTATAAGTGGTTTTAAACAGTAATTCATAATTTTTGAAAATTTACCCTTCCACAGCAGCAGAGCTTCTTCCTGACTTTATCAGAACAGCTTTCCTCACGTTGTGCTGTGTGTGTTCGTCACCCATTGTCTGCTTTGGGTCCTCCCCACGGCACATCCTGCCTGGTGCCCATCCCACTGGGCAGAAAGGGAACGCTGCCGCGGGGAAAGGATGCAGGCACTGAGCTTCCCAGTCCCTGCACAACTGTTGATGTTCAAGGGCAGTATCTTCTTTATGTAACATTAACATTTACAGACAGGCTTATGTTTTTAAAAACAGGAATAAAACGGCATCTTTGAAAAAAAAAAAAAAAATTTATTAAATTCTTATTCACTCAAGTAAATTTGAGGGTGATAAAGCTATACAAAAATCACCTCTGCCCTCATATAAAAGGCAATCAAAACAAGCAAAGTGGTGACTAATCGAAAAAAGTTCCTACAGAGAGATGGAGATGACTCCTGGCCCACAGAATAGGCAGAAGTTGTCTGTGCTGTGTGAAGGAGCATTTATCTTCTGTGACTCAGCTTTGCTGATCTGAGAACGCAGACAACGGTGGCTGGATTTTTCTTCACTGTCTCCTTGTAAATTCCTTTTATTGACCATGTAAACAGTAGTTCTGAGAGTCGAAGGGAATCTTTTCCCATGCTCACAGGAGATTTCAGTTTAGCTATAAATTTTGCTAAACCTCATTTAAATGTCTTACTGCGCTCTCTGACATGGTGAATTCGTTTATAAATCATCCATATGAATCATCACTTTGCTCTTATGAAGAAACACAAAGCATTTACTACAAAACTGCAGAAAGGCGCAGCTATGAGACTTTTTAAAGCAACTGGGCTGTGTACATAAACAATCTGTACATCAACTTGAGTGAAATAAAATCTTAATTGAAAAATACGATTTATTTGTAATTAAAAGTCGAACTTTTCAGAACCAAACATTGTCAGTCCACTGCTTCTCCCATTGCAGTTAATTAATATTTCACAAAAATCCCAAAGTCGTAAAAGCCTGACTCACACCACCTGACCTAAGTGTCTAAGAAGAGATTTCTTAGGCTCCCTGGATAGTCTAATGGAGAGCACTCAGTGCCTCTAGAAAGTGTTGGAATACAATCACACAGTTTTCCTGAACTTCAAAGTGTGCTCTAACTTTTCCAATTCTAAAATATTTATTATTTCTTTTTTTCATTTAATTTTTAATCTTTAGTTTTAATTAGCCACTGACCCTCCTACTGTAATAGCTCTATCTCTATCAAATTAAAACGGATAGTCTAATGGAGAGCACTCAGTGCCTCTAGAAAGTGTTGGAATACAATCACACAGTTTTCCAGAACTTCAAAGTGTGCTCTAACTTTTCCAATTGTAAAATATTTATTATCTTTTTTTAATTTAATGTTTAATCTTTAGTTTTAATTAGCCACTGACCCTCCTACTGTAATAGCTCTATCTCTATCAAATTAAAAAATTTATCTCTTAACATATCAAACATTTTGTAATAGCTCTATCTCTATCAAATTAAAAAAATTGATCTCGTAACATATTAAACATTTCTTAACAAATCAAAAAGAAACTGGTATTTTTGAGATGAAAGTTAGTGCATGGTTCCTGTTCTTTCAATTGACTCACCCATGGCATTTTTAACATTACCAAATGTGCAGAACAATTGCCTCGCTTGTAGACTTGCTAAAACACAGTCTTACCGTGTTGCTTGGATTTCTCTCCTTCAGATGATCCTTCTTGTGTGGATTTCTTCACGTGGTGTCATCTGGTACCCCAGCACAGTGTCTGTAACCACAAATTTTATGGCAAGCAATGCTGTAAATCATGCACGAAGAAGAACTGATAGCAGCGTGTTATCTGAACCCTTCAGTGACAGGATTCTCTTCTTCAATTTATGTTGGAATTAACTTTGCTTTGAGGCAAGACACGGTGCCACATAAACCACTGATGGAAGAGACAGTTTTTTCGAAGGGAATGTCTGAGGTACAGTAATTGTTGGATATATGTTGAAAAAGAAATGTTTCTTTCTTTTTTTTTTTATCTGCTGACCTCACTAAAGTACAGGGTACTACGGATCACTTGAACACTGAGACTTGAGGGGCAGTTCTTCTTTTTATAAAAGTGTCATTTTGCACTGTCATATGTTATGAGGAAGAAATTAAGGCAAGGAAGCCTTTTCTGGCTAATTTACCAGAATGCAAAGCAAGAGAGATTGGGAGCTGGAGGAGGAAGGTTCCAGCATGGCAGCACGACAGGCCCCACTACCAAAAGCCTTTCATATTTGTTTATGCTACGATGGTGCCAGGGTAAGGCAGCTGTTTCCTGCCGCTGTCGCAGAGGGACACTGGGACGGCTGTTGGCTGGAGAGCGCGGCGTCACTCCTGTGCCCACAAGAAGTAACTAGTGCACTACAAAGAGATATGGTGCTTCGCTGTTAGACTTGCTGCTGGAAAAGCAAGTTTTGCATCATGCTAATGTTTTTATTGTTTTGAAGAATTAATTTTCTGCTTTGTGTAGAAACTCAGAGGTGGTTAACTAGTAACTTGAAATGTATTCCTCAAAATATTCAGCGTTAGAATATTTGGACTTTTAATATTGCTGTGTTACAAGTAAAATAGAATTTCATATTTCAACTAACTCAAGGAACTCAGACTTATTGAGCTCAATGGTTATGTTTTCAACTTTCTAAGGTCATTAGATATGTAATTTTAAAATTTAAACTTGATATTTTAAAGTAGTTTTTTTCAGAAGCTAGGTTGTTTGAATGCCAAGATACTGAAGAATGTCTTCCTTTTAATCTCAAATCTCTCTGCAAATTTTGATCCAGCCTTTAACCACAGGAAATAACAAGAATATTACAGTCCATTAATTCATGCTAAATGTCTCTAAATAGTTATTTATTCACACAGGTTATATGAAAAAAAAAAGAGAAAAAGATAAGTGGATGATTTACTCTAACCAAATAAAAGTTGATTCTATTTTTATACATTCTCCTAGTACTTTTATTTAGTTCAGAATCCACCAGCAAACAAAAGAAATGTAAATGTAATGATATTTGTAATCACTCAGTATTGAGATGTGCGGTGACACTATACAGCAAATGGTACAATTTAGAAAGTTTCTGCATTGAAAAAACCCAACCTTTTTGCCAAACCCATCCAGAGACAGAGCTGTGTTCTACTGTAATTTTCTGGGGAGTGCCTACGAGGGACATATTTATCTAATTCCACCCAATCCCACAACTTTGTTGATGAATGTAGTTCAGTTTTACTGTTTTTTTAAAGTATCGTTTCAGCGTAAGATTAGCCAGCTCAGCACTAATGCCAGACAGTGGTCACTTAAAATTAGCAGTTCCTTCTGCAACAATTTAAATTAAAAACATGTATTCTGTGATACTCTAAGAAATGATGATTGGAAACATATCTCAACCTACACCGCTCTGTCTTGATATTGGACGTTGTGTAATTATAACCTTTTTCCTAGTAAAACTACAAGGGTTTTTTGTTTTGTTTTTATAATTGTGTCCTTTTTATTATTTGATGTAAAATAATTAATTTATTAATGCATAGCTTTTCCTTTATATTTCTTTGCTCACTTCCGTAAGTGACAACTGAGGAAAGAAAATGGTAGTGTCACAAAGTATGAATTATGGTGTAAAAAAAGCAAAAAATATAAGTGTAATATTTAATTATTTTATAAGCTTTGTAATAAAATACTCTGTTTCATTATATTTGGAATTCTAAAATTAATGAATAAAATATGGAGGTTATAAGTAAATATCAAGTAATATAAGGGGTGTATTCATTCACTTGCATTTCCATTGATTGTCCTGTAGTATCTTTAAGTAAAGCATTATCTGGCTGTGCTCAGAGCCCAGGCCAGCTCTGAGGAGGGGTAGTGACAAAAGCTACACAAGAAAGGCCCCTTCTTTGGGGCAGTGGAACTTTGGGCGCCACAGCTGAGTGTGACCCCTGCCTACCCATGCCCCCACCAGTCAGGCCATGGATGGGTTAATATTGGCGGGGACCCCTCAAAACAGTGGATTTGAGTGTTAACAAGCCCTTATGATGAATGGGATGGAGGTCACTCCTTTCAGGCACTCAAAGTCAGGCGTATGCGCTAAGGTCATGTGAAACTCCTCTACTTTTGAAGGTTCCATTATACTGGCAAGTGAGGAATGTACGACTGATTATTCAACAGAGTGAATATATTGCAGTTGCCTTTTAAGAGCAGAAGATGTTTCTCATTTGAATGAGTACCCTACCCCTGCAGCAGCTGCCATGGCCTGTGCCCATTTCAGGCACAAAAAGGCAAAATGGATATAACTTCATGGGTTTATTTTTGTAACAACACAAAAGGTAAAGCATACAAAAATACAGTTGCCCCTCTGCCACGTGCAAGACAAAACTGACCTCTCCCTTCTCTCCCCAAAGACAGTGGAAACTTGTGTATCACGGAACCAGCATGATTCTTCCTGCCTGTGGAAGGTGGTTGGCAAGATAAGAAGCCTCATTTGACATCGCATTAGGTTTTACAGCCTCTCCCCCCTGCATGGGCACACTTTATTTTTCTATAACTGACTCCGCTAAGATATTTCCAAGCCAATCCCTAGTAGAGACTATGCTGATTTACTGGATCATTTCATACATATATATATACACACACACACATTCTGTAACATGTATTTGCTGCTTTTCCCTTCGTTCACCATCACTCGGTTCTCTGACAGCAGTGAGCTATATGGAGTATTGTTGATAGGAAATACTGGAAATGCTTCTGGCTTGCAGTCTAATCTAGTAGGCGATAATGAGCAATAGATCAGTCTGCTCCTGAAGGATTCCCAGCAAGCGCTCTTTTGAACATGATTGGGACTAGTGATTTAGATAATTAATATGCCCGCACAAGAATTCAAACTCTAAACTGCTTTGTGTTCTGGGCTAGAATTTTGGAATTAAAATGAACTGACGGTTGTCAGTGAATTACAGTGTTGGAGATGGATGTTGAAAGAGGAAATATTGCATAAAGATGTGCTATTGTGTGGTTGGATCAACCCCAAGTCCACAACTGTTTTATGGCTGAGCCCTTACAAGGATATTTGGTATACAAAGCTTGGCAATTTTCTAGAAGTATATTGCTGCAAGGCTCACTTTATAAAGCAGAATGGGGTCTTTTCACAAAGGAATAGCTCCGTTTCCTGTAGTCAGATTTCATCACTCAGGTAAAGGATGCATCTGCCTAAAACTCAAACAGATATTTAATGAATGGCTTGATTGTGTAAATCAAACTCAACTATCTCAGATGCCCAGAAGACATGAAATGTTGGAGACAGATGAACGTTTCGCTGCATGTGGTTTTATGGTAACATGAGCCACTTCCCATATTTCCCTTATTTTTCAGCAAATCCTATTCAAAAGCATCAATAAAATAAATTAACATTATTGTTTCTATTGTAATAGAAGTCCAGCCTACTGAGTGACTGGGACCCCATTGTGTACAGCACAGTACCCACGTCATGAAAGGCTACAGTCCTGAGCGTACAGCGAGAGACAACAGGAAAAGAACATGTAAACAGGGAGCCCATTGTGATTGGGAGAAAAGGTGCTGCTGCTGGCTCAGTGGCTGCCTGGACACTGCAGAACACTTCAAAGGCAGCTCTGTGCAGATAAGATCTGAAAGAGCAAAATTGAGGAACTTTATCTTGATTCTGTTTCAAAGGCAAATACTACCATCTGAGAGGATGGTAGAAGGAAAGGAGTAAGGAAGCTGGGAGATGTGGAACCAGTCAAAAATGACGTGGGTTCAATGCTGAGTCCTCACCAAGACAGCGACTACCACGAGAGGAAACTCATACAGAAGAATCATTCATACTGCTAGCCTGGCAGTTAACAGGGCCTACAGAGAGGTGAGGTTTTGGCAAGGCAGTAAGTCTTCTTTCCATCAAAAAACAGTTCTGACATAAGGAGATACAGCTGCTGGAAAACACCTTCAGCCTCCCAGCTGGGCAGAACTAGAGACAAAACCTGATTTCTCAATTCACAATGCAATGTAGTAACATCAAAACCAGTTTTCCTCATGCTCCCTGAAGAAAAGCATCTATCATGGGATCTATACTTCAAGCTACTAAATATTTTATGTACTTTCTGTTCAATGAGTGTTCAATCATGAACATTTCAATTTCTGGATTCTGCTAATGGAGGCAGGAACTGTCAGGTAAGCCCTAACTGCCAGGCTTACTGTCCAAGCGTTAAATCAAGCTATTGTCACCACACATTTCAGCCTTAACTGTTATGTACCTACTGCAACTTAAGACAGACCTTTAGTACCCCTTACGTGACTTGGGCTGCCAATTTATTATATCCTGTTGTGAAAATGTTCACTAATCCTTTCATAGCAACACAGGAGAGCTGACATAAAAGTTCATTCAAGAAGAATATGAAAGGGTTTATAATGGAAATGTTACTCATGAAATTCTTACCTATGGGAAGCAAACATTTCAGAGAAAAACATATGCAAGAATTCCCTCTTTGGGATCTTCACCTTCTCATATCACCATAATATCTGAATTAGGGCTGTCTAATAGGAGAAACTCACTATCCAAAGAGATCACCCCACTGATTTTTCCCCAAATGATATCAATAGATAAACCCTGCAGAAAGTGCTTGCAGATTATTCACTGTATTAATGATATGTCACTATTTATCCACAGGAGCTGAATAAGAAGTTTCAATATACAGATCATTATTTCACCCTCCACAAAAAGATACCCTGCTTCCAAATCCATTAAAGGAATTTTAACTTCCAAAGAGTTTACTTTACTGTTCAGCACCCTCCATTGATAGATAATATTTTAACGGGATCAGAACATTTCATTTCTAGCCAGAGACATTGCCCGTCAGCAGAAAACTCATCAGCTCAGACTTTGTAAAAATACACTGCAAATGCCAAGTTGCCCAGAACTGCCATGACTTTCTCATTCTTGTCTTTGCTGGTGTGTGGGGAAAAATCAACCAGCACAGACAATAACAGGCTATAAACACAGCTCTCTCCAATTAAATATAGTATATACTTCTTCAAACTCTATCATTTACCACAGTTTAATTTTGAGGTTTTTTAGTGTCCACTTCCAAAATACTAGTTGCAAAACCAAAATTGTACATAAACAACCTGGAACATCTAATTTGAATAGCATTCAGATACTGAGTGAGCCTGTTGGATGGTATATGGGCTACTGTGATACACATCTACCATATTACATGTTCTGAACTCAAATTGGCCTTGTGCCTTGCGGCCAGTTACCATCTAATGCTGACTCATTTTTTTCGTTCCTCAATTGCAATAGAACTTGTCATGAAAATCATGAACTTGTTACAAGCTTATTGTTCCGATAAGCCACCAGCTTGCCCAAGTGTCAGCCTACTCATCTCTCACCAGACTGGACCTATGCTACATCAGCCACACCGACTCAAATGCGTACCAGTGCAACTCTCAGGGAGCTGATACAAAACACTTAACTCACTAAGACACATTTAACACCTGGCACGCTCATCAGCCATTGTATTTACTCCTTAGCACAGTGATTCTTACCCTAGAGCTTACACATTTTTGAGAATCCTGCTGACTTTCACCAGTCGTATCACTGCTCTTAAGGCAGAGCTAAAGGCCCCATGCCCCCGCCGCAGTGCAGTGTTCCAGGTCGGATGGGAGCACTGGTGAAAAACCTTCATCTGGGCTAGGGAACTGAGAAACCAGAAGTTCACAGACCTGCTGAGGTTGCTGCCAGAGCTATAAATTAAAGTTTGGGATTAACAGGGCTTCTGAGCTTTGCCCTGTTGTGATCAACAATTGTGAGGGTGAAGAGAGGCCAGACTGACTTGCGTTTTTGACCCACTCTTCAGTGTCTCTGCTGGTCTTCAGCAGGGACCAAGAATGGGATTTTCATCTTGAAGCATAACTTGGAAGTACAAAATAGAAGGGAATCTGTCTTCTGGCTGACAAAAAGCAGAGAAAAGATACTGCACAGGGTTTGCCAATATTCTCTTGTTCTTGGTTGAGTGATTCGCTCACTCTTCTTTTACAACCAGTGCTAACTCTATGGTCAAGAAGGAGGAGTTTTTCTCAGCCAGTTAAGATCATCTGGACATTTTCAAATACATTCCTAGTATTATTGCACGTATTTTAACTTCTTTTACAATCTCCTTGTGAATTTCCAGGGTTTGAGTCTTTGACCTTTTTGTATTAAGTCTGCTGTAAGGTGATAGATAATGTTTTTGCAACTTCTTGTACTTGTGCCGGGGAAGGGGAACAGAAGAGCAGATACTCTTTTGGCTCATTCCAGACTCTGCACCTATGACATAGCAGTCTGTTGTGCTCAGGGACTGGATTTGATAAAACAAATCACTGATTAATTTGGTTAAACAGTTAATTTTATTTAGGTCAGGCATGGCTCACACCTCATGTCTGCATGAAGGCAAGCGCAATGGGGCCCTTGTGTTGACTGGTACCAATAACAGCACCGATCTGCTGAGAGACCAAGCTCTCTAGCTCTTTTTTTTTAATATAAGGCACTTAATTAAGGTGGAAAAAAAACCCCAAGTATTTTGTATATGCTATGTCATCTTATTCAGGAAACAGCCAGAGTAAAGCAGTTCCCCAGCTTCCTCGATTACACAATCGCACTTTGCCCAGGATCAAAGTACTTCAAGAACTGGGTTATTCTTGGTGCTGTTTTTTTGTAAATGCTCTTCCTTGAGCTTCTCATTAACCTTCTGAACCTCATT